AGTTCTTAGAAAACTCAGAAACTCAGGGCCTCCCCAGTGGCAGAGCAGTTGAGTGCTGGGTTGCGAAGCTGCCCGCAGTCTCTGCAGCACCGGTTCGATCCCTGGCCACCAGGCAAGGGTCCCACATTTTGCGCAGACCTCTCCTGCCGCGCCCGCTGCTCCCCTCAGCAGTGTACTTCGTCAGTCTGCCTGCTCTGCTCCCCACTGTGGCTCTGCTGATTTCTCTCACCCTCCCATGCTTCTTACTGTACCCAGTGCTTCTATAAATAAATAAATAAATCTTAAAAAAAAAAAAAAAACTCAGAAACTCATAACATAACATAACATAACAGTCTTAAAATGCATTTCAATTTGAGACCAAGGACATTTTATTTCTCTGTGTGGCTATTTTCACCTGGACTTTTCTTTCCAACTCTCTCTGGAGGAACAGAGGGGAGAAACATTAGACTGTTTTAAATACAGAACACTAAGAATGTCACCAGCCGGGGCTAAGGAAAAGTGTCTCTGGCTTTAATGGTTCTAGGGGGGCTTCCTCCAGGAGCCCTGACCTTGATTTGTATTACAAATATTTTCCTTTTCCAAGCTCAGCAGGAAACATTAATTCACCAGATGGAGTCACCACTGACGGATGGTGGCTTCTTGGCCTCTCCTCAGCCCTGGCCAGCCAGTTTGCCTGGATTCCAGCCCCATACAGACGCGGTTTGTATGGCAGTTTTTTAAGTAGCCCGAGCATTCGGGTCCCTTCACACACATGAGGGAAGCAGGCCGACATGCTAGAGAATGGAGGAGGCAGGGCAGCCTGAGAGAGGCCTGTGCAGAGAGGGCTGAGACTATTAGATCAGGGAAAATGGAGGGAGGGGACCGGCTCTGGTCTTACCTCTAGCAGGTCACAAATCATTAGACCTCAGCTGCTTCCTCAGTAAAAAGGGTCTAAGAAAACCCACCCTCATCTCCTCAGCTGCCAGCAACTATGTGGGGCCCTGGACAACCCACTCTCCCATTCATCTGTAACTGGAAAGTCAGACGCTCTCTGAAGTCCTTTTACACTAAAATCTGAGGGTCCAAGGTGGGTGTTTTGAAGGTACAGGAACATCCCAGGGCACTCTGGCCCACAGTGATCCTCAGAGTTCTCACACAGGTTGACCATTCACTTCGCGCCAACCAAGCCGTGTGCTGCCCCATCCCCTGCCCTTCCCAAGCACAGCCCTGCCAGGAAGCAGCTCTGGCCCAGCCCTGGTGGGGGACACAGGTGGTCAGAGAGGATGAAGATGGCCCTGTCAAAACCCAGCTCCCTCTAACTCCCACATCCACATTCCTTCCGCCTGTCGGCCCAGAACAATCGAACCTGCTTTCTTCCATCCCCACAGGGACTGATGCCCGGGCCCCCATCAAGTCGACTCCAGTGCACACACACCCCCGAGCTGGCCAGGGCCCTGCAGTGTGACTGCAGCTGGGACAGCTTAGACTATCCCGACATCAGTCGGGACATCAGTTCTGGGCCTGGCCAGGCCCGGGCAAGTGCAGGCTGACCTTGGAGGAGGCACACTGCCTGGCTGCCAAAAGCTGCAAATCCCGAATCCACGTCCACAAGAATATAGAAACATAAATGTTTTCTAGGGCTGTCCTCAATTCTAGATAACCTCTATTCTACTTCCCTGGCACTAAAATATTCTCTTTTAAGTGAAATGCCAACCATGTTAGGTGGTAGATGAGTTGTTAATTTTTTTGTGTTTCTTTCTTTAAAATGGTCACTATTTTCATTTTATTAATTTGTTTACATTTTGATTTTGTACAGTACTAGATCCCTTGTGCTCCTCCCACCTCTGTTTTGATCCCTCCCCCCCCCTACTTTAAGCCTCATATCTATAGTTGCTTATAAGTTTTGTCTTTTTTTTGTTTTGACCCTTTGTTTGGTTCCCCTGTATTTCTCCTATAAGTGATATCACCCAATATTTTCCTTTTTCCTTCTGACTTATTTCACTGAGCATAATTCCTTCCAGCACCATCCATGTTGCTGCAAGTGGCATAAGATTATCTTTTTTGATTGCAGAGTAGTTTTCCATTTTGTTTGCTTGTTTGTGTGTGTGTGTATGTATCACATTTTCTTGATCCAATCATGTTTTGGGGCATTTAAGTTGTTTCCATATCTGAGCTATTATACATAGTGCTGCAATAAACATAGGGGTGCACGTTTCCTTTTGAATTAATGTTTTTTGTGTGCTTTGGGTAGATTCCTAGGAATGGAAATGCTGGGTCATGTGGTAGATCCATAAAATGGACACTTTTAATAAAAAGTTACACATTGGCAACCCAACAAAGGTCCTTCCCATTTTTTTAAACAGAAAAATTTAAACTGAGAAATTTATGTGATTGGGATATTTATAGTTCCTTTTAGTTTTTTCTTTGTTCTATAATTCCATTGAGAATAGTTTCCAATTAGATGACCTCTAAAAATTTGCAGCTTTGTAAGAAGATACAAGAGTCCCCCCAGCCCCCAACACACCACACACACACACACACACACACACACACACACATCACACATAAACACATCAAGGAAAACCATGACTGTATACAAGTGAGGATGAGAGCCCTCACGAGAAACCAAATTGGCCAGCACCTTGACCTTGGACTTTCCAGGAAGAATGGTGAGAAAATAAAAATTCTGTTGCTTCAGCCACACCATCTGTGGTGTTTTAACAACACAGCCCCAAGCTGACTAATACAGCTGTGATACCCTGTCCCTCAATAGGCTCCATCTCTCCACCTGTAAAAGTGAGTAAATAACATTCTATTTTGGCATTACCCTAGTGCCAAGTCAAATAAAGATATCATAAGAACAACAGCTTATAAAACCATATACTATAAAACTACAAATCAATAGCTCTTAGGAATCTGATGTATAAATCCTCAACAAACCAAATGCAGTAAAATACAAAGATGACATACTGTGGCCAAGTACAACTTATCCCAGGAATGCAAGATTGGTTTAACATCCAAAAATCAATTAACATACTATGCCATGCCTGTAGAATAAAAGGAAAAAACCGTATAATCATCTCAATGGACACAGAAAAATCATTTGACAGTATTCAACATCTTTTCATGAAGAAAAACTCAGTAAACTAGGAATGAACGGGAACGTCCTCAACTTGACTGTTATGAAACAGTCACACTTAATGGTAAGAGACAGAAAGCTTTCCCCCAAAGTCAAGAGCAAGACAAAGATGTCTGCTCCAGCTACTTTTATTCAACAGGATGATCTTGCCAGGGCAACTAGACAAGAAATTTAAATAAAAGGTATCCAGATTGAAAAGGAAGAAGTAAAACTCTCTTTCTGCAGATAATTTGAACTTACATGTAGAAAATTCTAAGGAATTCACTTAAAAATATGTTAGAAATAATAAGTAGGTTTAGCAAGGGTGCAAAATAGAAGACCAATGTAAAAATATCAATGTATTGATAGAAGGTCAATTGGATTTCCCTAGAGCAGCAATGAACAAACTAAAAAAGGTAATTAAGAAATCAACTCCACTTACAGGAGCATAAAAATCATAAAATACTTGGGAATTGATATAATAAAAGAAGTGCAGAACTTACACTATGGAAACTAAAAAACACCATGTAAAAATCTAAGGAAAACCTAATGAGTGCCTGGAAGGAAGCTAGGCACTGGCAGGTCTGGAAGCAGGGGGATGAGGAAAGGGGGTGCTGACAGAACACACCCAGTGAGAGGTGGAGAACCTCTGGTGTTTTGAAGCCTGGGTAGGCAAACCTTTACAACTCCTTGGGCTTCCAGCTGCACAGATTACCTCCAGCTTCAGTTTTCTGCTCTCTCCAAGCTCTAGAACAGCAGACGCACCAGTTCTTAGCTCATTGCCGTTGCCTGCTGGTACTATAGGAGACCACTGGGCAGAGGACCTAAATGGAACTCACCGTGGGGGTGCAAACTCCCCTTCCAACTGGCCTCTGACCTGATCCCAATTACCCTGCCCCCAGCCAAACGCCAACCTTTGCTCCAGTCAAGGTCTGAGCCACGACCTTGAGCAGACTGGCCTAGACCAGCGACTTCATCAACTTGTGCCTGGCCGCAGGAGGACCATGGGCTGGTTTGCGGCAGCCCCTCCATGGCAGAACTTGTCATGGGAATTGCTGGCCAGCATCAGAGAACACAAGGTCAGCAGCACCCACGGAGGTGTTCACTCACTTTGGGGTGTTTGCACACAGCTGCTCCCCGCCACTCCAACACCCTCCTCTGCCCTAGCAGCCAGCCAAAATTCACCAGACCAGAGAAGACAAGAATTAGGCAAGTCAGTGGCTCCATACTGAGCCTACAAGTCCAGTGACTAGAATGGCTGGCGTGGGGAGCATGTGACAGATACTGGGGCCATGACTGGCAGAAGGGCATATTTTTCTCATAGCCTGAAAATCAGATTTTTATATGAAATCTAGACACTTAGGGGAATCTTCCGATATTTATGATTTAACGAGCTATTCAAAAGCAATTTTTAACCGAGCAGAAACTCACGCAGGGCGGATGTGCACAGGTCCTGAGCTGACAGTTTCCTAGTATCACTGGTTAAACACTAAATGTTTCCCTGTGCTCATTAAAGAGGCCCAGTCCAGGATCCTGTTGGACTGAGGGACCCACAAATCAACCTGATTCCGACCCAGGTGTCCCAGAGGCTCCCTGGACCCAGAAACTAGAGGGTTCACGCCTACCCCCACAGGGTTCCAGGACAGGGTGTTCATTCAGACTGGTCACAGGGCCCCAGAGCAGCAGCTGCTGTTAAATGCTCCAAACGCCACCCCTGCACACAGTTCACCAAGCACTGCAGAACCAAGCAGGGGTGAGACGGGGCCGAACGCTCTTCCCTTCCAGGGATCAGCCCCACTTCCAGAAGTGGAGAAGTGACCGAGAGCTCATTCCATTCCTCAGGCCCCCCCATCACCTCACCCCCTTGTCAGCAGCAGCCTGGGCTCTCATGGGGCAGGCTCACCAGGCGGTAGTTGCACATGATGATTTCCCGAAGGTGGTAGTGCATGGGTATCATACTCTCGCTGACAGTGTCCAGTGCCACATCCACCTCCTTCTTCACGCGGCGTCCTTTGGGCAACAGCTGCACCATGTTCATCACCACCTGGGCCAGAGGAGGAGGGCGAGCAGAGAGAAAACTAAGGCAGGCAGGAGGGAATCTGAACCCCGCAAAGGCTCACCCTACACTAACAGCCACACAGGTCATTCTGGGTACCCTCCTGGCCCAACTACCTGGCCCAAAGGTCTACCAGTGAGGACTGGGTTGCTCCTGCTCACCCTATAGCCCCCTCCTCATGCAGGCACCAGTCACTCCTCCTCACTCCCCCCTCCACACACCCGGCCTCCCAGAGTAACAGTCTTATCATGACCTCCGTACTGGCCTCAAGGTCAAGGTTACACATAGTATGGCCCTCCAGAGTTCTCACAGTCCCAGTACCCACCCACCTTAGCACCACCTTCTAATGTTCTGCCAGTCACAACCTTAACACAACTCCTGCCCTTTCCAGATTGCACACTTGTTCCCCTCTGCACATTCCCCCTCCTCATCCACACTCAAATGTTACCACCTCCATGAAGCTCTCCTGGCTCCCCAGTATCAGCCTCCGCTCTCAGAACTGATGTCAATTTCACCCTCTTCACACTCTATGAAGTAAATCTCTATTGAACTGTGGGTTCAGAAAGCCTGAACTAACTGCAAAGGAAGCTTTTCTAGACCTGAGAATTTCTTGGGCTGAGTGCAGATGGGTACAAGGGTGTCGTCAAACATCATAATGTTACTTTGGAACATAGTCTCTGATGTCCATTACCTGCCTTCTACCCCAGCCCATGACCTCCGATGTGGCTCCAGGGAGATGAGTTTGGCTCCCTATACCTTAGTTTCCTCATCTGGCAAGTGGGAATCGTAAAGGCACCTAGCTCTCGGGAGCTGTGAAGGATGAGCTCCTAGCATGGGGCCAGATATACGTAGAGAGAGTTCTATCACATCTGAGGACTGCCGTAAAGACTAACAATTCAACTTGCAAATAAACCCTCATGCTTGTAATCAAATGATTTTCAACAAGGATGCCAAGACCATTCAATGAGAAAAGGACAGTCTTTTCAACAAATGGGGCTGGGAAAGTGATACCCTCATGCAAAAGAATAAATTTACACATATCCAAATATTAACAGGATATCTAAATACTAGCAGCAAATATTACACTAGAATGGATTCAATGAGCTAAATGGAACAGCTAAAACCATAAATCTCTGAAAAGAAAACGTATTGGGATGACACTGCATTTGCCTATGAGTTTGTGAATATGACACCAAAAAAGCAACAGACACATTGAATTTCATCAAAATTGAAAACTTAAAAAAAAACAAAGGAACTGACAAAATGAAATCAAAACAAACTTTAGAAATATGACTGCAGAATTGAGGATATTTAGACAGGGAAAGAGGATGCAGCGGGACAAGGGTGAAGGGCTCTGTGGCCGAGGGTAAAAGAATGTGGATTCTTGACTGGGGTGGTAAGTAAAATACATCTAGAAGGTGTGAAATTATTGCATACAGTGTCGTAAATCAATGTCACCTCAATAAAAGATATACAATTGTAAAAACATTTAAAACTTCTGCATGAAAGGACACTATTGACCGAGTGAAAAGACAACCCATAGAATGGGAAAAAATATTTGCAAATCACATTATCTAACAAGGCATTTATATCCAGAACGTAAAATGAACTCCTATAACTCAACAACAACAAAAAAAAGTCCAAACCAAAAATGGGTAAAGGACTTGAAGAGGCATATCTCCAAGAAGATAAACAGTGGCCAATAAGACGCTCAGCATCACCAGTCGTTAGGGAAATGCACATCCAACCCACAATGCGGCCCCACTCACACCCACCAAGATGACCACCAGCACAAAAACACAAAACAAGTGTCAGCAAGGAGGGGAAGATACTGGAACAATGAAAAATGGTGCGGCTGCCTTGGAAAAAGAGTATGGCCACATCGCAAAAATTAAACAGGATTAACAGTTGAACCAGCAATTCGATTTCTGGAATTAAAAGTAAAAACTCAAGCAGATATCTGCACTCTCGAGTTCACAGCAGCGTTATTCACAACTGCCAAGAGGGGAAGACAGCCCAAGGGTCCATCAATGGTGACTGGAAATCCAAAATGGGGTTTATGCACAGATTGGAATATTACTCAGTCTTACAAAAGGAAATGCCAACACATGCTACAGCATGGACGAAGCCTGAGGACATGCTTATTTCACATAGTATAAGCCAGTCATGGAAGGACAAATGCAGTGTGATTCCACTTATATGAGGTATCCAGAGATGTCAAGTCCACAGAACTGAAAGTAGAACGGCAGTTACCAGGGCTGGGGAGGAGGGAAGTTAGTGTTCAACAGTCCAGTCATATTGGGAGGATGGAGAAAGTTCTGGAGAAGGATGGTGGTGATGGCTGCACAACTAAGCAAATATACTTAGTGCCACAGAACTGCACCCTCAAAAATGCTTAAAATGGAAAATTTTGTACTATACATTTTACCACAATAATAACAGAAAATAATCAGTGAATCACCCAGGACAATAAGAGAAAAGAGGCCAGGGCAAGGGAATGGCATAGGCAAAGGCTCAGCGGCTGAAAGAGCTTGGGGAACTCGAGGAACTACACAAAGGGTGGGGTAGCAGGGAGGGCAGGTGATGGGTGCATGGCTGGCTGGGCAGACAGGTGCCAAGCACCATGCCAACAACCAGCAGCTACATGCCCATCTCTGAGCTCCATTTTTCCCACCAATAAGATGGGGACATTGCCACCTACTCTCTGGGGAGATGACATGTGATTGGGGCACATGAACCAGTCATTACTAAATCAGAAATGTCCATCCGGCACCATGAGCTGAAATGGAACAGAGGCATGGGGGCAGAAGCCTGCACCATGATCACCAACCACAGCTGGATCCCAGGTTTCCAGGAGGCCACTGGGTTATGGCCAACATAACCCAGAGCAGAGGGTGGCCTCCCACCAGCCACGCAGCAGCCCAGCAGCAAGACCCGTGAGGTGGGGGTCCAGCCCCATCTCCAGTGGCTATTTGCCATGGCCCCAGAGCTAAACCGCCCCACACCTTGGCTTGCTCTTGCGTGAAACAGGAATAGGGAAGCACTGGGATGATGAGGTCGACAGCACTGGGGACAGCTTGGAAGATTCCCCAGACCTGACAGCAAGATTCACCCTCTCCCCTCCCGCAGGCATCTCCTGGGGCCCCATAGGGAGTGCTCACCTCAAATTCGCCTTTGGTGAATTTGGCATCAGGCACGCTCACCAGCTCCTCCTAGCCTACCTCGGGGAAACCCTAAGGAGGACAGCTGTTGGGGTGGGGAGCACTCCTCTCCTATGTCAGGAGCCCCATGACAATGGTCTGCCAGTCCTGCTTGCCCTACCCGGGATTGGTGGCAGGGGGGTCCTGGACCACACCATGGACCACCTCTGCCCCCACACCTTCCCCATAGCCAGTGTTCCCAGGGACCAAGGGCCCAGGCTGTCTGGGTGACCCCTGTCCTCTCACAAGAGGTCACCCGTACTCAGATGTGCCAGAAGGTGGGCACAGCCACCACCATGATGGAGGTGGTCTGGCCCTGGCCGCTGAGGCAGCTGAACACAAAGCCGGTGCCTGAGTCCTTGGCGAGGGCAGCCCTCAGGGCCACCAGCAGTCGGTCAAAATCCTGTGTGAGGAGATCAAGGTATGGGTCAGCAGCCGCTCCTGCTGCACAGACCCCCCAAGGTGGCAGCCCCTCCAGATGGCAACCCCAGCAGCTGTCCTGGGAGCGCTCTCCCCGGGCCTGTCACTGCCAGGCTCACAACCTTGTACGCTCACACTCCACTCACTGAACACACGCAAGTCCCTGTGTGTGTGAATACAGCATCCCTGTGTGCAGTTGTAACCCCACCCCAGGGACCAGGACTGGACATGTGAGCCAGCACACACACTGGGGGATAACGATGTCCACTGTCCACTGGGTAAGACACACTTCCATGTGCTGCACCCCCTAGGCTGCACATGGACCCCCTGGATCTGTGCCCACCTAGACGGGACCCAACCTAGGTCCCAGGCTGAGCACAGGTCCCAGCCTCAGCCCATCGCAGCAGAGCACGGCCACCAGGGGGCAACCACGGGCAAGGAGACCCGCTGGCAAAGTGAGGCCAGAACTCAAGCCCCAGCCTCCACCTGCCACAAGGAGCCGTGACACAGGCCCTGCACACGCCGGGCACAGACACACAGGCCACCCAAACCACATGTATGACACAGGCACACACAGTATCCACAACCTAAAGACACACAAACGACGCAGACGCCCATGAAGACACCAACCTGCAGATACCACGAGGACACCCAACCCCCCTCAGGCACACACAGCATTCCACACACCCTCCTCCACAGAGCCCGGATGCACGCCACACCACACGACTCCCCAGAAGACACTCTCTCCACACGTGCTCTCCCCCAGTGAAGACAAAGTGTACGTCACAGACTCCACAAAAAATACTCGCACCACACATACATGCACTTCACAATGACATGACACCCGCTCCCAACACAATCCCCAGCAAAGATACACACACCATGAACACTATGGACGTGCTCGCCTGAGCACATGACCTACAACACATGACAAGCACATGACAAGCACCCAAGAATACACACGCAAACAAGAAACTTGGACACAGTGTGAGTAAAGCACTTGGTCAAACTCAAAACCCCCAACCCCTCCTAGGAGCCCACAGTCCAGAGGGGGCGGAGCAGGGAAAGGTCTCCTTTCCCTCCACAGAGGGACACCTTGGCATGGCCCCTCACCTCTTCACAGGGGGCACAGAAGTCTGGCAGTGGGATGCGGTGGTAGGTGAGACCAGGACAGGCCCCCTGGTGCTGGCTGAAGACCTCCTGCATAGTGAGGCACGTCTGGAACTTGTGGGTGCGGGGGCCCTCTGTGCCTGGGAGAGGCTTGCTCAGGTGGGTCTTCAGCTGGGTCTCCAGGCTCTAGAGGGGTTGGGACAGAGGACAGCGGCCACTGAGGCAGCCTGCAGGCCAGCTCTGAAAAACAGGAGCCTGCTCTGGTCAGGGCCAGGCCTGGCTTCTGGGAGCATCTCTTCCCCTTCCTGAGCCTGGGGGTCAGACCCAGACTTGGACCAGGGAGGTGGCCCGATGCACATCCTGAGTCAGCCACTCCCTGGCACAACTCCCATCAGGGCTCGGCTTCTCCATCAGTACAGCAGGAGCAGCAAACCTTCTGAAGATCCTCACAGGCCAGTGCCCCAGATGGCCTCCAAGGAAGGGGTGTGCAGAAGGCAGAAGGGCTCACCTCCAGCTGATCAGGGGTTACAGGGGGCCCAGGCTGCCACAGGCTGCGGGTGTGCCCCTCACACTCCAGCACGGCCTCCTCCCTCAGGTTCACCCACACGATGTGCCGCAGCTTCCTCTTGGCGTTGGTCAGGTAGGCCAAGACACTCCCCAGGGCCTGGGGGGACAGGAATATGGTCAGTGAAAGGGCTTGACCCTCCTGCTCCTACCCCAGGCCTCTAGGATGGTTACCTTGGCACTGGGCTGGGCCGTGCCATAGATGGGCATGCGGGGCACCCGCCGGAGTTCGCCACGTCCATCTCTCTCAGAGTGCCGAGTGCGTCTGGGGAGACGAGATCGTCCACCTTCTGCGGGGAGAGGAGCAAGCCTGGGACCACACCCGCTGACACGGGTCCAGAGCCTGGTCCCAGAGGGGCAGGAAGGGGTGGGACCGGCTCCTTTTGCACACTAGGAGCTTTACCAGTGCCCCAAGGAGAAGAGGGATGGCCCCCACCTCCAGAAGAGGAGGCTGAGGCTCAAAGACCAGCCCACGCCCATTCCCATCCTCCCAGCCAGCCAGCCACACTCACCAGGGAGCCCTTGGCCATGAGGCCCCTGGGAGCCACTGGCCCCACTGAGGTCAGCGTCACAGGCAGACGGTACAGCTCAGGGTGGGCACACAGCCAGCGGCTGAAACTGATGGCAAAAACCAGGGGGTACTGCAGTCCAAGGCGGAAAAAGATGGTTCAGGGTCACAGGGCCATCCCAAGCTCCCCCCACCGCAAGGTAGGGGAGGCCAAGAGACACCCATCAAGCCCAGAGCAGGAATGAGGGGGAGGGAAACTCGGACCAGGACATCCAAAGCAAGAGCCAACCAGGACCTGATGCCCAGTGGGTACAGAGGAGGGGCCCAGAGATAGGGCCTTCCATTGTCTGCCAGGAAACACCCCCCCCAAACTGCATCCACTCCCCAGGGAGCCAGAACCCAAGGGCAGTGCTCAGGCAGCAAAAGGGGAGAAGCCAAGGGGCCTAGCAGTGAGGGACAGAAAGGCAAGGAAACTACCTGCAGCCTGCCTGCCCTGCACCAGGGCCGTCAGCGCTGCTGTGAAAGGGGACAGAGGAGGAGGGAAGAGGCCCGGAGATTGGCTGGCAATTTGGGGTGTGACCTCCTTAACGGGCTAAGGGCAGCCCAGACAGCCCATCTGCAAGGCATCGCTCTCTCTCTCTCTCTCTCTCTCTCTCTCTCTCTCTCTCACACACACACACACACACACACACACACACACACACACACAGAGAAGAGGTCACCACCCAGTCCCTCTGGGGGGACTAGGAATTGCCTCCTCATGACCACCCCCGGAAGAGCACCGGGAACCCCAGCCCAGGAGAAGGCAGGCGCAGGGGGAGCCCAGGGCTCCTGAGGAGGCTCAGCACAGCATGCACTCACAAAGTAAGGGAGTGTGGGGCATCGCACGGGGCCAAGCAAGGCTGTGTCAGCCAGACACTCACTTGACACTCAGGAGCACTGGCCACAGGGGCCCAGGGGGCAGGGCAGGGCTGGCAGTGGGGAAGCAAGAGGCAGCAAGAGCCCCTTGACTGTGAACTGTGGCCCAGGCTGGCCTACTGTGGACCTTTGCCCAGGGGTTTAGCTGGAACGTCTCCACACCACCCTTTTGCCCAGCAGCCCAGGCTCTGGCACCAGACTCCAACCACCCACCAATCTGCCTCTTCTCCCCACCATCCTGGGAGTGGGTAGGACAAAGGCTTCACTCAGAACTAAGGTCTCCAGGCAACCCTCGCCCTCCACTCATCCCCAGGAAAGAGGGGATCAAGCACTCCATCCCCACCCATGGATCCCCAGATTTTCATTCTCCAAGAAGAACCCCCAAACGTATCCTCATTCCCCTACCACCTCAATCCTGCACAGGAGATGAAAGGGGAGGCTGAGCCTGGGCTGCTCAAAAGGGTGTTCCTTACCCTCCATCAGGTCTAACTCACCCACCCCAACACTGACCTCACGAATCCCCCCAAATCTCGTGAGGTCACACTACAGGATCAACGTTATTTCCATTTTAATGTTGAGGAGAGTAGGCTAGACCAATGCACTTGTCGAAGGTCACAGAGGACAGCTGGCAGGAGCTGAGCCACCACACCAGCTTGCCCTGAGGGCCGGGCACAACAGCCAGCCAGAGGCACCTGGCAGATGCGCACAGCAGGAGCCCAGCAGGCACAGTACCTGGTGGACCGCCAGGACCCCTCGCGCCTCCCCGTGCACGCATTTACTCTTCAAGCTGAGATGACCATCCTGTCCCGCACAGACACGGTGCTGGAGCCCCAAAGTGAGACAGGAGAAACGCCGGGCCACGTGGAAGTCTCAACAGCGGACGGGAATGACCTGGCCCCTCCTGCAGCCGCCCCTTGCGCCTCAGCCTCCCGCCTCCCACCTCCCGCATCCAGGTGCTGAACGGCCTCTGCCAGGACTGCGCCTTCTCCAGGTGGAGATACGCGTTGAGAAGCACCAGGTGGACAGAGCGCTCCAGGTACTGCAGACTCCGCAGATGCAGTCTCCGGGCCTCCTGCTCCACCTGGGCTGCCTTTGCCTGGAGGACATACGGGAGTCAGTCTGGGGGTCACCCCACACATCGCACATGCACACATCACATACTCTCATGAAACTCTCACACATAAAACACACACACTCACATACACATGCCTCCCACACACAGATACCCCATGCCACAGGCACCCCCATTCACACACAGCGTACACAAACACTGAATGCGCACTCATGAACACCCTACACACACGCACACACACTCACTACTCACACACTCACATCCCCTGCTGCCCTCAGCACCAGGGCAGGGACGGAGGGTGGATTCAGATGGCAATGGGAGGGACCCTGCCCCATCCAGGTTACAAGAAAGGCCATTAGGTGTACTGGTGCCAGGAAGAAGCCACTTCCCACCTGGGAGGGGGTCGGCCTCTTGAACCTCTATATCCTCATGAAATTCTAACCATTGTTCCTTTCTGAAGGGAGACCAGACAAGGACAGGCTGCCAGCAGAAAGCTCCAGGCACACAACCTCTATCGTACCTGAGGGCTGAGGAGGGTCCAAGGGGCCCTGGACAGGATGCCCAGTTCTAACCACAAGGTAGGGGCCTTCTGGCCAACTCTCTGTCACCGACAGAGACGTGACTCAGTAACTTCTGAACAACGCCGAAGAGAGAGAAAGACACTCGGCCAGGAGCCAGAGCCCGGAGACGTTCAATGAATGGCCCAAGGTCACCACACAGAGATGACCTGGGACCAACAATAGAGCAAAGGGGGGTTTCAGACCCCAGTTCAGGGCACTCGCACCTGGCCACAAGGTGCCCCTGGAAACAAAGCCCTGTCACTCACACCCGCATGAGGGAGCAACACCCAGTGACAAGTGAAAGGGCAGGTGTTGGGGGGAGCGCAGGGAGGAGCCCAGAGTCTCTCATGCTCTCTTCTCTAGTAATCTCTCTGGGTGACCTCACAGAGCTCCCCGTGGCCAGGCTCATCCTCCTCATCTGCAGAGTGGAAATAAGCATCCTGCTGCATGGGCTGATGGAAGACCCAAGTCTGCAAACTCAGGAGCAAAGGACTGTGGCCTGTGGGAGAAGAAAGTGTTGAGTGTGCGCAAGTTCCCGTGAGGCCTCCATGCAGCCTTCCCTGCACACGGGGCTTGCACCGCTCCTTTAGCACTGACCCCTCATGCACAGTTGGGGGGAGCAGGGTTCCCCTAGGACCTACATCCCAGGAAGGCTGTGGCTGCTACAGACCCCCGTTCTGCAGGTACCTTGCCGGGTGCACACTCCGTGCCATCCAGCGGGGGCCCCTTCTTGGTCTTGCGGAAATACGGGTTGTCTGAATGGCTGCACCACAGCTGCTTGCAGGGCTCAAAGGTCCTGAACTGCGTGGCAGGGGGAGCGGGCTCACGGCCTGCACTGGTGCTCCAGCTCTGCCACATTGCCCAGGCGGCAAAGGGTAGTGACAGAGGGAGAGGGTGTTGTGGTGGATGCTGGGCCCAGAATACTGCCAGGAAGGCATGAGGAACCCGTCCAGACACACACACACACACACACACACACACACACACACACACACACACACACACACAGAGATAAATTGACTCTACCCCAAGTGCCAGTGGCTGCCGGATGCCTCCTCTCCAGTAGGGCACAGAGCAGAAGGAGCCAGCCACAGCCCACACTGCCCTGTCCCCTCCCTAAGCCCTCCCAGCCTTTGTAGGACCCACACTCTCACTGAGTAGGGACTATGGTTCGAGGTTCTGGGGAGTCTGAGTCCAGTGCACATGGCGGGCATTGAAGGGGTTACTGGTCCAGCCCAGACCCCCGCACCCATTCAAGGTCAGGACTCCCATCTCCCTCCCATCTCACCTGCCACAGCACAGGTGGTGGGAAACTGCGTTCCAGGAGAGCCCCAATTTCCTACTAGTCTCTCCCATCATCCCAGGCAGACAACAAATACAGCACATGGCATCAAAATGCCATCTCCCCCGCGTTCTCCAGCCCAAAGCAGAGGCCATGTCTCCCAGGCTTGCCTGAACTTCGACACCTCCCGGCTCTGTAGTGCCGAGCAGGGTGTTGAGTTCCAGGTTTGGGCTGAGCTACTCGGGTCACCGGGGCCCGTCCCCTTCTGCAAGCACCTGGCCTGGGCTCTCCCCTTTTCTGTTGCTCATCTCTTTTCTGGGTGGCCCTCACTGATCCCCAGGCTGTGCCCTGCTCTGCCCGTGGCCGGGGCAGGGTTATGTGGCCTTGTGTCTATCTCCTCAGACACAAGGGCAGGGGGAGGCAGGAGTTGACACCCTGGAGAGAGGTGTGTGCAGGAGAATTTCACTAGAGTGGGAAGCCAGCCTCCACACTTCTGAAGAGCAGGTGGTGACAACTTTCCTTCTCCCAGATGGAGCCCAGCACCTGCTATGACTCGTGGACCCCCCACAGGTCAGCTCCCAGACCAGGCCAGCCAGGATCTCATTACTCTGCTCTCTGCCATCTTTTCTGGCACTAAATCGTTCTCCAGCCACTGTACTCGCTGGAGAGCACACAGATGGGGTTGGGCAGGGAAGGGGTGTAGCAGAAGGTAGCAGAGTGAGCCCTGTTCACCTAGCTCCCTTATGGTGGCACCACCCAGCCTGGGAGCACATCGCCAGACCTGCTGGTGGGCTTGGTGGACCAGCCTGGGTCACAGGACATGGCACCCAGCTGGCAGAGGTGGTGGGGACTCACCTCCGAGCAGGTGTGGTACACAGAGCCAAAGTCAAAGCAGTGCTGCTCATCCATAGAGTAGTCAGTGCCAGGCAGTTCCAGGGGCCGGGGCCAGGCAGGTGCAAAGGGGTCGTCAAGGAGGCAGTCGTAGGAGGCGGCAAAGAAAGGAAGGTGAGCCAGGCAAAGGCAGGAATTCCCCAGTCTCCCCTCCACAGAGGATGGACTTTGAATGAGAGGGAAGGCCTTCAGGAATCTGACCCGCAGCCCTGCGCTGGAGCTGTCTTCCAGGAGGTCAGGCAGCCCTGACCCTCTCTGGCATAGGCCCTCACTTGGTCCCATGGCTGTGTCTGGGGGGATCCGGGGAGAGGCACCCAGAACTGGGGTTGGGTGTGCAGCTCATCGTTATCTTACAGGCTGGGTTTCGCCACCAGAGAGGGACATGCTATGTGGCCAGGACCAGGCTGATACATGGACACTGGAGGGTTCACTGCACTGAGAGAAAAGGGAACGTCAGCCCACCATGCAGGACGCACCTGGGCCCGGGCCAGCTGCCACGGGGGGTTAGTGCAGCTTTTCTGCCCACCCCTGCTCCACCCAAAACCTCTCCACTCCCACTCCCAGCCCTGAGCTCCCGAGTCTAACACGTGTCTGCCCAGCAAAGCCGGGAATTGTTTCAGGAGCGGGACGGTGCTGGAGGGGAGATCACTCAGGGTGATCTCTGCTTGGAGTGGCAGGTTGCTGCCCCATCCTGGCCCCCAGGGTGGAAGTAACCTATGGGAGGTAGCCTCTGAGCTCCAGCTGCTGCAGTGGGACCAATGGATGTGGTGGAAGGTGTTTTGAAGAATAGATAAAGGTTTCTTTGCAGCCACTGACCCTCAGACTGATCCCCTGCTACAGCTGGTCCCCAAAAGGACTGAGGCCCTCCTTGAAGCCCAGGGCAGCTCGTAGGAGAGGAACAATATTGCGATTCTATGAGGAAGGAAGAAGGGGTGTGAATGGTTTGGGGCTGGGAAGCCAGGCGTGATGCCAACCTTTAAAATGGGCCAAATCTCCAAAATGCTGGAGCCCGTGTTTCTCCGTCTGGTCCTAACCAGTCAGAGGATTGACTCCCTCACCCCTAAGACACAGATTCTCCCTCTCTACGTCCAACTCATGTTCAGTTCTACCATCACTTGGACATGTCTCTCCAGCGTGTGCTGAACACTGGCATCCAGAGGCGACCATGGCACAGCAGTCTGTGTGTTCTCAGCTTGCTACCAAAGAAGGGCCATAGGCAAGGGGTCTGGTGTGCCAGGGTGGGGTGACCTGCTGGGTGAGGAGTAGACACAGGCATGGTGAGTGTGCCTAGGAGGGACACCAGGCCTACGTTTGAATAGAGGTGACTTCTCAGCCAAGTCTTACAGGCACAGGTGTTGGTGAGAGAAAAAGGGGAGGGCATCTCAGGCACAAGGAACTGCATGGTTGGTGGAAGGATCAGAAACGAGACCAGGATGGAAAGCAGAGGCTGAGGGACTGGCAGGAAGAGCAGTGCTGAGAGGCCCCCTTCTGAAGCCAGCACGGTCGTGTAGAGTTTTCTGGCCTGTCCAGAGGGCTCTCAGCAGTCACTAGAAGGTTCTGTGAAAGGGCAGGCACAGAGTTAGGATTTACAGGGCTGGTGAGAGTAAAAACTGGTTTTAAATTCCTCACTCACACTGAGGTGCGAGTCAACCATGGTTGTGTAGTAGGATATGTAGTGCCCAAAAGGGTGAAAGCTTTAGGATATAGGAGGAGCTTATAAAAGTATTCCTTGTCTTTTTGAAATGCATCAAATATACCTACTAAGGTATATTTTTATGTCTTTTATATTTGTAATCTACATTTCAACATATTTATATATATATACTGTGAAATGTATAATAACTTATATGCTACGACAAATAAAATGTATACCATATAACACATAATCATAATTCATAATTATATGGGAATAAAACCATCTGTATATAAAATATAAAATATAAACATGTACATCTTAATATGATGGGTTTCTAACACCCAAGACTGTTGTTTGATTTCTAAGTATTTTCAGTGGAATGAAGGAACAGTCTGTTGTGGGATTGAGTAAAACGGCACATGGGGGTGGAGACTTCTCTCCCCTCACCCAAGGCCAACACCCTCCAAGGCTATGGTCCTTTTGTGATCCTTCTCTTTCAAAATTTGGAAAATGAGACTAGAAATACCTATCGACCACCTCTGATGGGCACCCATGACACCAGCCATACATGGAAACTGAGAGCCAGAGCAGACCAGGCAACATATAGCACTGTGGGCAGCTCTGGGCTTCCTGCTCAACCCCTAAACCTGAACGCCCTGAGGGACGGAGAAGGCTCTTTCCTTGCCCCCACTCAAAGGACACACCCGTTAGAGATGAATCTCCATTTGAGCACTTAATCCACCCACTTTCAAATTGGGGGGCAACGTGGGTACCCCAGCCTTTCCTGTGAAGTTCCCACCTTCCATTTGCACAGAGCTTTCACAAGCCTCAGCTTAACTCATTGTGAGTTAAGCTGCCATTCGCATGTCCTCCAAAAGAGGGAAAGGCCTCTACCCACCATCTGGCCATGGAGAAGGCTGCGAGCATTTATGGAGCACCAGCTGTGTACCTGGCACAGAACCCAGTAAGCTTCAGCCTTCCAGCTCTGCTTTTCCTTTAAACTTTGAACTAAACTCACATGGCCTGGATGTGAACCTCTTGTGATTCAAGTGGTGAGGATGTTTTGTCTAATGTCTAGTTTTTTCCTAGCAAGCAAAAAACCCCAGCTGAGAGGTTAGGAGATCAGGTCAAACCTTGGCAGCTATGTGGCAAGATGGCTCTGGGCGATCCCTTCCTCTCTCACTCTCTGCACGGTGAACGGTGGATGAGGTCACCTCTGTGGTGCCTCAGAGCTGCTACAATTCAAATACTCAGCCCCCAGGCCTTTGCACAGGCCAACTCCTCAGTCTGCGAGACTTTTCCCCACGCCGCCCCCGCAACCCTGCAGAAAGCCTTGGTGCTTCCTTCCACTCCTTTCTCAGCAGTCACCGCCCTCTGAAATGCTGCTACTTTCCCACCCCCAAACAATTCATCCCTCATAGGTCCACATCTGTGCTGTGGGCAAAAGTCTGTGGGCCCCATGCATTGGAATGAATTATTGCTGAACAAAATAAGACTAACACTCATGAAGAAAGCTCTAGTTTACCTTTTGGAACCATCTAACATATAATCTGCAATAGAAGTTTTATAAATGTTTGTGGGATCAATGAATGCCTGTATGCATTATGGGGTCTTAATCTGCTGTAGTGTTAGGGGATCCCCTATTGTTACAGGGCAGCCAAGATATAAAAAGGGTTGTCTGGGGCCTCCCCGGTGGCGCAGTGGTTGAGCGCTGGGTTGCGAAGCTGCCCACAGCCTCTGCAGCACAGGTTCGATCCCCGGCTGCTCCCCGGTCACCAGAGGAGGGTCCCACATGGCGCGCAGACCTCTCCTGCCGCCCGCTGCTCCCCTCAGCAGTGTACCTCGGTCCTTCTGCCTGCTCTGCTCCCCGCTCTGGCTCTGGTGAATTCTCTCACCCTCCCGCGCTTCTGACTGTACCCAGTGCTTGTATAAAAAAATAAATGAATGAATCTTTAAAAAAAAAAAAAAAGGTTGTCTGGCTGTGTGTCCTCACCCGCGCGCTTAAAAGGGACTTAATACTCTGCTGCAGGCACACACAAAAGGCTAATAAAAAGTTTATTTACAAGGGAAGGGGAAATGAGGAAATGTACAAATCAGGGAGAAAATAGGGAAATAAAGTCTTCTATGCGCCCAACCCGATCCGCTGACCTGGAAACCCAATGGCACTCTGAGAGCTGGCCAAGAGCTGAGAGCAAGCGGAGAGCCAAAAAGGAGCCTCCCAAAGCCCATGTACTGCTTTTATGCCAAACCTGGCTGCTTAACTCCACCCTCAGTTTCCAGCAACTTCACCTTTGGTGGTGATAGGATTTGTTTTTCCCAATGTCTTGATGGCTTTGGTCTGGAGTGGGGGTGGAGTCCACAAAGCCTGTATGGAATTATCTTTAGGACATCCTTTCCCCCTAACAGTATCACCATCTAGAGAAAGACACATACTACTTGTTGAAGCATTTCTTACAAATTCCTTACTGGCAGGGGTGCTGTTTTGCTCAGGTTTTGTTGCACCAGAGCTTGGCACCCATTGGCTGTGTATTGCATTGAACGACATGGAACTCCCCTCCCTGAGCCTCCACACTGAGTGAGCAGTTCTCTCCAGGGGGCAAAATGGTTCCTCTAAGAGTTTGGCTCCATCCCCAGGAAATGTGTATGGATTAGGGATCACATAAGAAAATATCTATCTGGCACCAGTGTAGGGAGCTGCAGGCCAGACTTGGCTTGGCTGCGTGGTGCTGGCAAAGCAAACCCCGCCAGCTCCAACAGAGTGCCAAGAGGACCGTCACCATCATGGCTGTGGACCCAGACTTGAGAGAAAAGGTCCCCAAGGACAGAGCTCCTCCTGTCAACAAAACAACAATGATGCTTGTGAAGCAAGTGAAGTGTGGCAGGCTGCTGTTAAGGGCCGGTTCCTTCAGCTCAGCCTTCACGGGGCTAGATATTCTGAGCATGACCCGGCCAGGGATAACTTCTCCCTACCTTACGGCCCAAAGTCAGGTTAAAATTTATTTTACTCACTTTTCGTGTAATCACTGTGGGTAGATAATAGTCCCATTTATAGATGAGACTTAAACTGAGGTTCAGAGAAGTTAAGTAACCAGCTCAAGCTCACACAGTGACTGGCAGAGCTGGGTCTCAGCTCTTCAGATACTAAAATCCATGTTCTCCAAGCTCTTATGGGTTCAGAAAGCCCATCAATTCTCACCAAATTATTAGCTTCATAATAGTTCCTTATAGCACATAATGGCTCGCCAAGGTGCCTGGAACCCATTGCCAGCTTTCAGGAGACTGCAGGTCTCTGCGTAAGGCCGGTGATCTCAGTAAAAATCACCCCTGCAGGCCCAACTAGATGGTGCGAAGGATACCATCCTCCAGGGATGCCCAGGCTTGGGATCTGCGTGAGGCTTGATACACATCATCTCACCCAACAGCTGAAGGTGACACCCTCAAAGGTCACCATTAGTCACCTACCCACAACCACGTCTGTTCTTTGTATAACTCCAAGCAGCTGAGGCCAGCCAGACCCTGTATTACCCTACATTTACCCTCCACAGTCCTGGATATGTTTTTTGGCAAGGCCTCCATCCAATGAGCCAAAGACAGCGCTGGGAAGCAGGGAGGATTCTGGGATGGGAACAGGGTCAGAAAACCCTCCAAAGGCCCTTGACTCAGACCCTGCATGGCTCCTTAGGACAGTGAGCTGAGTCTTGGGCAGAGGGTACAGACTGCCATGGGAAGGTCACAGAAAGAGAAAAGTGCTGAAGAAATTAAAATACACTGTGAAGAACCAAAACTGGAATAAACTCTAGATTGCAGGTTACAGGTTGCAAAACCAGGAATCCCGAGCTATGTGAGTCCCTGAGTCCACTGCAGTTGGCCAAGAAGGAAGACCCTCCTCACAGGGTACAGCCCTGACCCCAGTCTCTTTTGTGGCTCTCTGGGATGGATGGAACCACCCACATCCCTCCTTCCATTCTTGGTGCTGCCTCTATCCTCACAGCACCCACAGCAAATGGACATCGAGGGTTGTGGAGGCATGATGGAGACAGCGTCTGTGGGAAATTTTTACTTGTACAAATCGAGGGAGGTACTTACCAAAATATATGGTGTCACTTCTCTGAAATCTACATAGGACTTTGTTTTTGTTTTTGGTGTTATGAAAACCTCTTCCAAAGACCAGTGCTTCGGAGCTTTCTGCAAGGGCAATACCCAAGGCATGTGTAAAGAGGGGCTGAGCTCTGTTGTCCCCTCATCTAGTTCTATGGCAGTGCACCCCCAAATGGAACCACCAAGGGACTCCTGCAGGAGGCAGCTGTTCTGAACCAAGACCTCTGTGTCTCCTGAAGCTCCCCTGGTGTTTCTGAGGGGCCACTATGAGGAGGCTGGGCAGAGGTCTCGGGCACTCTCACCACAGCTGCTAACCAGCACAACCCATTCAAGGCTCCACCATCACCATAAATAAACCCGATGTGGTTTTACAATCTTTAAGTCCTGAGGCTCCCTAAGGGCACAGGCAGTGCTTTCCAGCCTCTGCCAGACCACCATCATAAAGGAGAGGGGAGTAAGACAGCGCAGGCTGCACCACTCTGTCTCTTTCCGGAACTGAGCAACTTGGCCTGGTTGCTTGTGAAATGATTTCATGTTTAAAATGATTTCATGTTTCACTTAAACTTCACACCTTAATCCATTACACACATCCTAGCATGCCTGCAACACACACAAACACGTGTGCCTCTCTTTAGAAGAGAGACCCCAGCTCTTACCTCCCACACAGTAATTTGTCTGTTCCACACTTGTAAGCTCAATACAGGACTTATCTGCGAGCTGGAACAGAGAGTTGTTCAGGTCAGGTAAAGAGTGGGGCATGGTATGGAGCCGCCTCATCCCACCCCCCAAGCCACCCCTGTCTCACTGAGTCGACGATGTTCTGGAGATCATAAAATCCACTGTCCACACCAACCACGTGATCCTCACTATCTGCAGACCTAAGAGAAGGAACAGTAGGCTTGGACCCACAGCAGGGTGAGGTACCAGCAGGACCCCTTCCCAGTGGTCAGGCTCAGGCTTTATGCCATGTGAGACTCAGTGCTCCACCCTGACCTCAGCCAGCAGCCCATCTTTCTGGAATGGAAAGTTCTTTCACCTGTTTCCCAGTACTGCGGGCTCATACAACACTCTACTCATTTCTGCAGTGGTCACATGTTGTCCAGATATTTGGGGTGGGTTAGAGAACCATCCTCTGGGGGGCCCTTTCAAAGCTTTCCACAACTGTTCTCTGCAGTTGGCTCCTGTTCTGAATTACCTGATTTTTCATGTAGTAGTTTACACCCACGGTGTAAACAGTCCCTCCCAGTTGTCGAGTCCTCTGAGCCTAAGACAAAGACCGTGTTAAGTGCAAATCACTGAACATGTGGAGCAAAAGATGGCTAAGGTGGGCTGGACTCACTTCATTCTTGGTAGCCTCAAAGGCCTCTGGCGACAGTGCTCCATCAGTCAGGGAGATAACCATGGAGTGAACCTTTTTTACTGTGGGAGAAGCAGGAGTGGCCTGGTTAGTAAAAGTGCTCAGAGTGACCTTGCACAGGTGAGAGGGCCACAGCACTGCTCCCCAGTTTCTTTCCCCTGGGAGAGGCTACCAGACCCCCGCGTTCCCAAGCATGTCGAGGGCTGTGGAGCAGCCGCCTGGAGGGAGAAGGCACCTTAGCCGACCCACTTTACAGAGGAGGAGACTGAGCCTGGCTGTGGATTTCTCTTACTGGATTCTCACTGCTACAGACGGCAGAACCTTTACCCTGAGAGGCAAATCCAAATATTTCACGGGACAAGTGATACCTTTCTCATGTGCATTGCGGAAGCACTCCCACCCAACTGAAATAGATGTCCTGCAGGCTCAGAGGAGGCTGGGGCACACCTGCTGGCCCCTTAGGGCCAGTGAGTTAGAAACTGAGGTCACAGGTCTTTGGAGAGTGGACACTGAATCCAGCTGAAAGCCTTTCCCCACAGTTTCCCCGCTTCCAGCTGTTGTGCTTAGAGCATCCACCCTACAGACTCAATCCCAACGGAGATGGTGCTGGGCTGACACAGCTGCTAGCCCTGGGGACACATGGGCCAGGAGGAGCGTCAGCAGAGGGAAGACGATGAAGGGGAAGGAGGCAGCCCCAGCCATGGGAACGCGGCAGAGTGTGGTCAGCAAGGGGGAGATCAAGCTCTTTTCTTCCATAAGTGGAGTCTTGTCTGCCCGAGGTGCCCTGGCCTTTGTCCCTTTTCCACAAGCTCACCTGTAGATCAGGTGCCTCACACTTAATAAACACCAGGAATGTACACCCATGACCCCGCAAGTCTCAGAATCATGGTGGGGGGGGGGGTCTACCCATCCCCCTCTGTGCACAGATGAGGAGCCTGGAGTATATATTGGGCAGGACACTTGCACAGAAGTCAGCGGGCAGGTGGCGGCCGCCAGACTGCTGAGCCCCGGCCTGACTGTCCTGGATCCGACTGTCTTGAAGTGAGCAGGAGCTTACCTCCAGAGTTTGCTGTGGAGATCTGTTCATTGACCTGCAAAAACAGGAAGGCATGTTGAGAGGACTCAATGATATTCTGAGCACTTGCTAAAGCAGGATAAATTCTTAGAGCTCTGGCTGTACCGCTTTAAATCCTTCCCGCATGTTTGTGGCTCCGGTAGGCACTGTGTTGTGTAGTTTGTTGAGGCCATCTTCGATTTCTTTTCTAAAAAAAATAAAATGGGTGTATTGAGGTAGGAAGAAGGGTGGCGTGTTCTCAAACAGCCCCATCTGTGCTGGCACATTCTGCACTGGGCAGACTGACCTGGACGAGGGAGGCCACCATCAGGAAGCCTGCCCTTAGGCTGGAGTCTTTGAAATTGACCTTCTTTGTACTCATCGCTATATCAGGTTCACAACCCCAGTGGGCTTCATGTAGGGCCTGTCTGACATTCCATAGGCAGATTGGGGAGCAGTTGTGACTGTACTAATGTGAACTGGAACTCACAATAGGACTGCCAGGACTGCCAGCAACTCAGGGGTCCCCAGTGAGGCTCATCACCCTCTACCAGGCAAGGCTGAGTTTGGTAAGGGTCACCCTGATAATACCCCTGCCCTGTCCCTCCCTGTCCTGGACCACTGAGGGTGACTTGGAACCCACAGCGTCCTTCCCTTCAGGATTGGATCTGAAGGAAGCAGCAAAGCTGCTTTGAGTGCTGAGTCCCTACTTCAGAGCTCCTGACAGGGAAGACCTAAGCCAGGGAAGGGGCCATAACTGCTTCTCATGCAGGCAGGGGAGCAGGGAGCTGCAGATGGCCACACTTTTGTCCTTTACTAGCTCTGCTAAGGTAGATAACAGGTGGGAGTGGGACACAAGTAGGGGTGGAGCTCAGAACAGGCTGAGCCAAGTGAAGATCTGAGCCCACACAGTTAAAGCTGGAGTGGCAGAGATTGTCGAGAAACACAGGGACTGCCAGTGTCAGTGCTGGAGTTATCAGAGGGGCTGGGAGTAGATGCTGGTGGCACGGTGATCACTGAGCTGATGCCAGCCCCGCCCAGGCAGCAAGCCTGCGGGCTCCTGACTGAAACTCAGGACTCCTCTGCAGAGTTTTCCTCTTGGCCTCCGTATCCCCCATCCCACCACCAGTAGTTCTGCCTTGAGGGAGTGAAGCTGAACTTACCTGTTTGAGGTGAGCTTTAGGATGGTGTGGCCCAGCGTGGACAAGGTGACAATAGAGACCCTCATGTTAGGGCTGGGGAGGAAGCACGTGTACGTGAGAGTCATAAACAGAGGTTCAAATGACCCCATGAGCAGCCAGGGAGGGGACACCTGCCTGTCTTCACTTCCCTCTAGCCTGTGACCCCTTCCTGAGTTCCAGGAGCTACCATTAATTTAGTAAAGGATTCTGAGGCCAGTAAATGTGTGGCTCACTAGGGAGACTGTCAGGGTGGTGTCCTGTTCCATCCCTAAATCTCAATCTCTACCCTTCTCTCTCTCTCTCTCTCTCTCTCTCTCTCTCTCTCTCTCTCTCTCACACACACACACACACACACACACACACACACACAAATGCTTGGTTCATGCCTCACACACTAGGTATATGTGCCTCCGCCTGCCTCATGGGTAGCTTCTATTCTCTGTAACTTTTTTTTGGAAACTCATGGCCTTTCTTTATTGGTCTATGTTCTCTTTCTGCCTCCATCTAAGAGAAATTATTGTCCCTTTTGCTACTCATTCACAATTTCTGTCCCTTTCCTCTTCCTGCCCACTGTCTTCTGGGTCACAGTCCCCCTTTGTCTGTTAGAGGATTGCTGTCCTAGTGCCTGATGAACTCCATGTAGCTGTGGTCTTGTTCCCACTCATTTTACCCACCATTATCAGTTTTCCTGGAGCACAATCCTCATCACCCACACTCAGCCCAAGAGTCATTTATAACTTCCTGTTTCTCATGTGAATTGAGGCCCCTTGGCTTGGCTGTATGAGTCCTTTGAACCTTGACCCCAAGCTGCCCTGTCCCAGACTCAGTTGCTCCCCTTCTGTGAGTTAAGCCCTCTGTCCCCCTAAACAGATCACTCTCTCCACAGGAAGTCTCCTTGATGCTTCTTGTTACCCTTTCCTTCTTCCTAACAGTCCTAGTTCTAGTGTCCATATCCTGGGGAAAACCATCCTTGAATTTTCTTTAGGAATTCTTGCTATTTCTTTAAAATTGCCATGAGGGTCCTTTGCCATTTTCTTTGGAACTATTAAAGCAAGTATTTTTTTCACTGTGTTATAGGTGGCCTAGTTTCTAATCTGTGACATCCTCTAGTTGGTCAGTATTTCCTACACTGTGGCTTGACACCAACACTGGAAACACTCGAAGTCTCTAGAACCTTGGAGCTGTGGAACTGAGTGAACTGCATTTTTGAATGATTCAGAACTCCAGCCGGGGCTTTGTGCTGTTGATCCAAGACACCCATCCCTACTGGGTCTAAACAGACAAGCACTCTGCTTGTCATTGCAAAAGCCCCACCACACGGAGAAGTCATACTTTTGAAACATTTTGAGGAAATCCTCTATGAAGCCGTATGTAAATATCCAGTTGGTGTCCACACTTCCTGACCTGAAAATGAAAAATCAATGGAATAGGGTGAATTCTTTGAGTTGGCAGAGTTTATCTGAAACCATCCAACATGCTACTCCCCTCCACTATGCTGCCGCACACTGTCAGCAACCCCAGTGGGCCTTGCTGATGGTGACTTTCGTCAGTGCAATGAGGTGGACGGCACCAATGGGATTTGTGTGCTTGCAACTGAGGGACTCAAGAGTGAGACCCTGTGGAGGCAAACAGGGATGGTTGGTTGTGCCACACTAGCTCTAGATAAGACATGAAGTAGGATGCACTTCTGAAAAAGACCTCCTACATCCTATAACTCTGACTCTCCTGGTCCTTCAAGTCCTTGGAGAATAACCATGGCCAGCTCTCTGCCTCTTTCTAACCAACAACAAGAAAGGTGTCAGTTCAAGCCTGTTATTAGAAACAAAGTCATAATAAATTCTCCAAGATGTGCAAGAGCTCTCTCTGCGCTGTAGGATCAGAAGTGGAGACGGTGGGAAAGAAGCCTGGAATTTTTTGCAGGATCTTTGTAACAGTGTTTGATTTTCATTTTGTGTTCATGCATTTACTTGATAATTGTTAAGATAACATTACAAATACTAGTTTAATGCGGGGTGTTAACAAAAAGGCAGATTTCAAAACTCCAAGTCTTGGTTTCTCAAAACTTCATGTTCTGGGTTCCCCAGAATAACATTCAACAAACAAGCAGAAGCTAGAAACAGAAGCAGAATGTACATGATGAAAGCCCAATCTGCAAAGGTAGGCAGAAACAGAAGGAAAACAAAAGCTGTAATGTCAATATACCATGTTTAGGAAATAATATGTTGTCAGTAGCAAGTTCTTACGTATCAGTAATCACTCCAAATTTAAATATATTGAATTCATCAAGCAAAGATAGCAGTGAGATTAGGTGGAGAGATAAGGCCAGTTATGGATGGATTGCCTATAGATATGTATTTCACTTTAAAGACAAACAGAGATTGAATGTGAAGGGATGAAAGAAGATAGTTCATGCAGGGGATATAGAACAACATTGGATAGTCATAATAGACAAGATAGATGTTTAGCCACAAATGTTCACATGAGTCAAAGTCATTACATAGTGATCATGAGGGCATCATATCCCAAAGATACAAAATGTGCCCCCAATCTGTACACAGATGTATCAAGTCTGAAAGGAGGAAAGAAATAACATATTTGTAGATAACTTCAATACCTGATTTTTCAACAGTGGAGAAGTTGTCTTGAGTGTCTCTGGGCTACTGCCTTCAACTCTGGGACGCTCACCCTTCCCAGGAGATGGCAGATACCCTCCCTGCTCTCCCCCAGGCCTGTCTGAGGATGGCACATCAGGGAAAGGGTTTTGGAAAAAAGTCATGTGCTTCCATGAGGTCACGGCATCACACCACAACTATTATTGAAGAGATGAAGCTGTGGAGCTAGAAATGACCAAGGCTGTGTCTCCAAGCCAGTGCCCTGTACCCCTTTCCTTCTTCAGGTCATAAAGGCTTATATAGAGCCCAGCTCCTCCGGACAGCACCCGGAGATCAAAGTGTTCAGAAAATACATAGATTGTAGAAGAAAGTAGTAAAAACACTTAGCCAGCAAAGCAAAGGACTTTATCAGCAGTGACACATGAGAGGCCCAGAGACAACTCAGCAGTCTTCCTGGAGTCCAATAAAAATGGAGTCATTTGGGTGAAAAACAAAACCAAGCATAAAATGATAAGCAAAAACCCAGGACATTATTAATAAATGCTGAGAAAGGCGCTCCCTGTATTGCCCCCCAAGTCTCTGACCAGGGCAGGAGGTCCACTCACTTGTCCACGATTAAATAGAGGTCAAGATTGCTCTGGCAGGATTTCTTGTGATCTGCCAGCCTCTCCCTGGACTCGGTGTCCTGGCTGTGGCCCTGGTGGGTGCTCTCCTCATCCAGGTTGCTCTGGGCTCTGTGCTGGTATGCCCCACTGCTTGGGAGCAGAGGGGTCAGCACCAGCAGGAGCAAGAATATAAGCCTGAGCACCCAGGGGTAGCTGCTTCTCATTTTCTTGGTAGCCTCTAGGCTACAAGGGACACTAATGTCTGCTCTGGGGGCAGAGTAGGACTTATTCCAGGTGGAGGCCACACTGCCTGCCAGGGTGCCTCCCTGACCCATAGAGACATAATGCCCTATGTTGTGATGGACAGGGAGGTTGGCATGGCGACCCTGTGACGGCTCACTGCAGCTCTGCTCACTGTCTTGTCTACTGACACTCCCGGGGGAGTCACAGCATCCCTGATGGGGCTTTGATCTCCAGGTGCTGTGAGAGGAACCTCCATTTGTCCCTTATCCTTAGCCCTCACTCATGGCCATTAAAATCCTCCAGGAAGCCAAGTCTTTGCAAACTGTCAGAGCAGCTGGGGTGGCTTAGACAAGGACATCACTGTGGGTGAGGGAGTCTCGGCTGGACACCAGAGCTGTAATGGCCATTTGAGTGAACACTGATGTCTTCCAGGGGGTTGAAGGGTCTAGTTTGAAGAAAGTGGTACAATTTTGTTTGTTTAGGAGGGATTCCACATATCCACTGATGTGAATCAACCACCCCAAACTTAGTAAGTCAGAGAAGAACCACTTTATCATGCTCATAGTTCGCATGGACCAGAAAATGAGAGAGAACTCTACTGCCTTGTTTCCTCCATGGAAATCATTAGAACCCCCTGAACTTTTAATTTTAGAAGCAGCACCTCATCTCTATTCTCCCCAAACCTGCATAACATTTGAGTACAATCATATGGTTATGGGGATCCATTGGAAGGATGTGAATCTGCAATCCAGACTCCCCTTATCAGTGCCCAAGGCAGTGTCTCCTCCAATTAGATGTTCAGTGCCTTTCATGAAATTTCCCTAAGAGAGCTTGACCTCTTCTCTCAATGCCTTCTCTGAATGCCTCATCATTTTCCTGCCATTGCTGATGATGTTTAAAAAATAAGGTTTTAAACAGTTTATTGAAAGCACAAAGAAATGTGTTTATATTTATGTATTTAACCAATTTGGCTAATCAAGCTCTAAAACTTTTTCTGTAAAATTCTTTGGTTTTTTATGAAAAACCAAAAACTGAAAACCCTGGAGCATTCTCTAGTGAAATGACACCAGATCTGTTGTGGTGTTTCTTGGTTTGAAAGAACACTTTTAACACATAACCTTGAGAATGATGTTAATTGAAGGCTTTTGGTAGCTACCCTCTATTGGGTTAGACATTTTCTCTGTTCTTGTTGGTTTCTACAATTCGTGAATGATTGTTTAATATTATCTAAATTTGTTTCTGCATAATTTGTGAGGTATACATATATTCACTCAAATTAATATGGTCAATTACATCAAATCAAGTTAAAACATTTTTGTGTTTTATAAATAGATTCAACTTGGCCTGATAATTTTTTTTATGAAAAAATGGCGGATTATTTATTATTAGTTTAGATTGTTGTTTCTTTGAAACTATAATCATGAGAAAAGCTGCAGTTTCCCATTTTTATGTTGTTCCCATCTGTTTTTGATATGTTACTAGCCTCATAATTATACAGTTGGAGTTTTCCTACTTTCTGTTTGATACGGCTTCAAAGGTGATCACAATGGACTGCTTATTATTTGTCATGATATCATTTGTGTTGGAGTTTTCGATGTCTCTGAACCTGGCCTGTCCTCGGGGGAAGACTTGGTTTAGTCACATAACCAACAAGGTTATGGTGGAGAGAGCACCACCAACCCTCATACTTTGTAGCCTCCTTTGAGCACTTAGGTCAAGAGAGTCTCCATTACCTCTGGAGCCAGGTGTTTAATGTCTGGTAGGTCTTCTCCACCTTGCCGCTGGCACCCGGATGTATGACTCTGTCCTACTGCTGACCAAACTTGAGGCGGGGGGAGGTTCACAATCCCTCCCTATAAGACCTCTGACCTCCATCCTTGAAATGATGCCTTGGACATTCATCAGGGGCGAGTCTTCCTTGACTCCTAAGAAGAGAGATTTCTGTCTGCTTCCTTGCCTGCCATTACAGGGTGCAGACACATGATGTGTTGCCTTGCACCTGTCAATTTTGCCCCTCAGCTGAGGCTTGCTGGAAGAATTCAAGGACAACTGAGTAAGCAGCAGTCTGTATTGCCAGCAAGCTCCCTCCATGGGAAACACAAGCAAACTCTACAGAGTTTGCAAAGATGGTTCTACTTGTCCGAAAAGGACAACAAATTCTTTCTTGCTCTCTCGGGTCCCTGGGGCTGCACTTTGGAGAAGACTGATCTTGGCGCTGTGCAATGTAAAGGTGGTCAGCAGGGAGGAATAGCAGCAGAAGCCGAATGGCCTGGTGTTGGCAGTGCCCCTTACCTGACCCAGACTGCAGCATCACCAAGGCCAGCCTCTGCGTGGGGTCTGCTTTCTAGGTCTCCCCCTTATAGGGACACAGTGGCCCGGCTGTGCAAATCTATGGGTCCTTTTTGGACCTCCATACCCAGTTGAGCCACAGGCAGCTCAGCTGACCCTTGGTCCCTGGTGTACGGTGGCTGGGCCTCCCTCACAGTACATGCCAGGTAAGACTCCCTTCACCTTCCTCAGCCCTTAAATCCCCAAAGGACAAGCCCAGTCAATCCCCCAATCTGCCAGGGGACAGGGAGGAGCTCAAAAAAATGCAACCCAACAGGATCAGAGACTGCAGGGGGGTGACCAGTACTGGAACCCTGAGTTTCCTTTTCCAAATGCTCACTTAATCCAAGGAAGGACCAGCCAATGACCAATCTTTGTGAAATGACAAAAACAACAAAACTAAAGATAGAGCCCTGGTCATGTCACATGGATCACGACAGTTCCTGAGGCAGGCTACTGATATTTGAAAATGTGATGGAGGTTCTGGATCAGACTGTTGGGAGCATGGTGAGGGTGTTGTCTGGTGACATTTTGTGAGTTCAAGAGGGGTCATTCCCTACCCCTCTGTCTCCATGCTTTGTGGAACTTTTAAAATGTTCATGCCGTTTCATGCATGTATGTGTCATGTGTGCATTTCTTTGTATATTTTTGCTCAGGCCTTTTGTCCATTTTTAACTGGATTTTCTATTGAGTTGTAGAAGTTCTATCTCAATATTGTTTAGATACACTTGACAAAACCTTGTATCAGTTTTAGGGTTAGGTGTATTGATTTGATGTACTTAAGTAAAGCAAAATGTGTATCACCATGGGGCTAGCTAAACTCCATCCCAAAAATAATTACCTATTTTTTGTGATGAGAAAATTCAAGCTTTATATTTTTAACAATTTTTCAGTATATAATACAGTAGCATTAACTATAATCACCGTGGTACACATTAGATCTCAAAACTTAACAATATGAATTATGTTAATAATCTTATCACTGGTGGTTGGAGCTCTTTGACCAAGAGTTGTAGTAATTCTCAAAGCTTCTGGCAGCAAGTCCCTTCTCTGTCCTGTTTTGTGAATACTATTTCCAGTCTTTGATTTGTCTATAAATTTTCTCAGTGGTGAAAATTAAAATTATATAAATGTAACAAAAAATTTTCTCATTGATAGAAAGGAATGCATGTATGTAACATATCCATAGCACTTTCTTTGCTCAATTTTTACTGGTGAGTACTGAGCCATATGGATGTATGGACACAGAGAGTAGTTACTGTGTCTGAGTCTTGTCTCAGAAATATTTTCCTATGGAAGGTGGAGGAGATGCATGTTACATTGATTCAGTCCTGAGGGTGGGGACAGGGAGAGGGGAGACCAAGTGTCCAGGCTGCACGGTGGACACATGAGTTCCACACAAGGGCCAGTTTTCAGGACCCTCAGTGCTGACCTTCTCCAACACGATGCACTCAAAGGAGTGTTCCTTAGGTGGGAGGGCAGAAGTAGCTCCAATATGAGGCCTGTGCCCAGGCCAGACAGGAAGCCCCACTTGCATCTCCAGGTGTGGGAAAGTGAAGGCAGTTCCAGTCTGAGAACAGAATGAGCCAATCCCAGAGGCAGGGAAACAGCTCATGGAATGGGGCGGTACAGTGAAGATGAAGGAGCACAGTGAGAAAAAGGGCAGGTGGTAGGTGACAGAAGACCCAGAGGGTATGAGCAGACGTAAGTAAGCTTTCCACCAAAACACCAGAGGCCAGTTAATTTTGAATGTGAGTAAACCATGCATCACATTTTTACTGTCAATATATCCCATAAGGCCACGTTTCCCATGGGCTGGCCCCTAGGAGAGGCCCTCCCCCAGAATAGTTGTTTCCTACATTTTCTCTGGCAACCGCAGTTGCCCCAGGCCCAGAACACCTGCCCGGCTAAATTTCAGTACCCCAGTGCCCCTTACTATGCCAAGCTGAGACTTGAAGGGCATGGCAATCTGCTGCTGCTGCCCGTTGCTTGTTGGTGATGGCCTGTGTGTGGGTCCCTGCAGGGGTGAACATTGTGAGCAACTCACTGCCCCCCGATGGGAGGGGGGTGCTGGGGAAGCCTGGAGAGGAGGGAGGGAAGCTGCTTGTTAGTTCAATTGTGAGCACCTACCACCGGCACACCTCCAAAACCTGATGACTTTCACTATGAAGACCCGATACCTAGACAGAAAATCCATCCTTCCACGCCCCTCTCCACCCACCGTTGAGGCAGAGCACAGGCCCAGACTCAAGTGTTGGAATGTGAGGACCTGCTGGTCACCTGGTTAGGACTGAGGGGTCAGAAAACTGGTTTTGATTTCCTGCCAGCAGCCTGACCTCCCCGTCTCTGCTTTTGCATCTGAAAAGTGGAGATAACAGTAAATCTTGGCCAGGAAGCAAGGAGGGGAAATGAACATGCTTTCTAGATTCTTTTAGAATGCTGCTTCTTGTTAATGCACCATTTGGCCATTCCGAGCCAGCAAGGGATAACCCCCTACTGGGATAACAGTAGGAGGGCTCTCTGGGTCAGCTATACAAATCCCAGGGGTTCAGGTCAGCCCTTTCCTGCTCACAGCACATGGGAATTCCGGTACTGGAATCATGAAGGAGGGGCCGGCCAATGTGGAGAAGGGGGAAACTCACAGAAACTCCACAGCTGGTGCTCCCTGAGCACAGTTCAGTCCCTCAAAAATTTCATCTCCTCTGTAGCAGATGCAATACTGGCATCATCCCATCCCAAATTCATAGTGGCATGCAGAGGCCCCAGTTTTGGGGGGCGTATTATGAGCAACAAAGCCCATCCTGAACATGGTGAAGATGCCTGCCCAGGGGAACAGCCCATACAGCTGATGCCCCAGGTGCTCCTCAATTACTCAGCAAGGGGCCTTGTGGCCCCCTGGCCTCCCTGCTCCAGTCTTGGAGGATAAGTGTAGACCAGTACTGGAGAAAGTGGGATCTGTGTGATTCTCTGTCTGCTGGGGAGTCGGTCTCGGAAGGTTATGGGGAGTCTCTGATTCCTTGGCTGTCCCTGACTTCCCCTCTTCAGGTTTGTGAGCAGGAGGTCTTGAAACTTCAGAGTCACAGTGTTGCCAGGACAAGTCCTGCCTGCCAACTCACCCATCCCCTTTATGGCTTTCTAGAGGGACTTTGCATCCAGATCTGGGTTGGAGTGGAGCTTGCCCTTCACTGACATACCCTCTTGTTCAATCTGCAAGACAATCCAACCTGCTGAGAGTGGGATGGGGAAAGCATTGCGGGCTCCCAGCTCACCTTGGCACCCACCTAGTCAGGATGGACTCCATGTGTGCCCTGCAGGATGGTGGCTGAACCTCCAGTGCCTCCTGACCATGGTCGTTTGGCTCCTGCTTCCTTCGGTGATGGGAGGGTCTAGAAGTAAGTCCTGGTCCTGAGCCACAGTTGCTGGCTATGAGAGTTGTAGCAGATATGTGCTAAAAGGGGTGCCTTCGTCCTCTCAGCTCCAAGTTGCCATGTGATCCTCATGTCAGAGTCTCTGAGGCTCCGTGTGTCCATGAGCCACATTGGCCAGGAGGAGGCCTGTCCTGCCAGTCAGCCCTCAGGCCTGAGGGAGGTACCACCTGAGGAGGATGAGACAGGGCTTAGGGGCTGAGCACCTACCTGAAAGATGGAGCCCCAGAGCCAAGCTGGAGAGTCAGGAATTTGGGCAAAGACCTCAGAGGCAGCTGACATTGTTCTTCCCAAGCCAGCAGGCTCATTGCAGGTGGCAAGGGGGACGTTTTGAGCCTGGATGGTTGTGCTGGAGCGAGGAGGAAGGGAGAGCCAGGGAGAAATCCTGGGAAGGGGTCTGCACCTGAAGGACCAGCAGGAGCATGTGGGTGCTGAGGACAATCACCCATGAGAGTGCAGCAATGGTTTCTTGGGGTTCAGGACACCACACCTTCATGTCTGTGCTCCCACCACTGGTTGTCTTTGGGAAGATCCTGTCTGTGCTGTAGTTTCCCTCCTGCAACTTACTTGGGTCTTTTTTATGGAGGTTCCTGAAACTGGGGAGATGTCCCTGGGGGCGGTGGGAGCTTGGGAGAAGTAGGGGCACTGCAGGGTGTGAGGGAAAGTGGGAATGGCTCAGCCTCCCACAGGAGGAGGCTTTTGTGGGCTTGGGCAGGACTATGGTGGCACTGAGTCCTGAGCTGGCCTGTGGCTGGTGCCAGTCACTGGGAGGTGTCAGCTGTGCAGGGAATCTATTTGACAAGTGAGGAAGGTCAGGATACCCGAGAGACTGCTAGCCGGCAGTGAGGACTTGCTGGTTTCCTTCTGGCTCTCCTGGACCACCGCGTCTCCTCTACAGAGAAGCCCTCAGTTAATAGAATGTGGACTCTAGATCAGGCTAGTGTCAGGTGAGGTCTATCCTGGCTAGTGTCAGGTGAGGGCAGGCTGTAGTCTGGGCCATATCCAGCTTTCTCCAGCACCTTGGCAGGAAAAAACAACCCACCCAAAGCTACTAGGATAATGAGCAAATGAGGTTTGCAGGGAGCTGAAAAGGCTGCCTTGACAGCAAGTGAGGTTGAGAAAGTGGGTGAGATTTGCGCTCCCCTGTTCTCTTCCTGCCCTGTCTGCATTGTAAGTTGTTGGCTCCTTTCTCATAAACTGTGAAAAGGCCAAGGATCAAGAGCCCTTGCTGTTGGGTGGGTTCTCAGTGGATTTGAGTTTCCTTGGGATAATAGTAGTCCTTGCGCTAGGGAGTAGAGTCAGCCAGGTGCCCAAGATGGCAGAGAAGGAGGAGGGGATGGGTTGTTTGGGGGGAAGGGCTGGGGAGTGGCAGGCGTCCTCCCTGGCTGCCTGATGGGTACAAACCATATACTGGGCAGGATGGGCACTGGCAGAGGGAGGGGCGGAGCCAGTCTTCCAGCACAGAGCTGGGCGCCCCATCTGTGGGTCTGCTGCTCATAACACGAGCTTGGGTGGGAGGCTGTGAGCTGGGAAAACGTCTGCTGGGTTCCCCCACCCCGACAGTCCCAATTCTCTGAGTACTCTCTCATGTTTCCAAGCTTAAAAGGATCATCTCCAGGGTCCAGAAAGGGGAAAAAGAGCTTCCATGAGTGACAGCGTGATGACAGAAGCTGGTACATGTTGGACATGTTGTCACGTAAAGGGTGAAACAGAAATCTTAGTCATATTTATTCCATGACACTGCCAACATTGATGTTTTACAATCAATTTTAAATTGGGCCAGTAAACACAAAGTTCTCAGCGCCATCTCCTGGAATAATCGACTCCTCTGTGACATAAACCAAACCAAACTCTGGCCAAGGTCTCACATTGCATGAAGGGTATCAGGAGGCAAGTGTGGGGTTGCTGCTGATTCTCGCTATGCACCTGCCTTTGCTCATGGAGGGAGACTCTGAATGGGTCAAAATGAAAGTGCTGAGCTCTCTCTTCCCCACATAATTCCAGCACCTTCTATGTGGCCTCCATTTTAAGTTGGCTTATTTCTCTTAAGTGCCTTGTGCCTGGCACTATAACAGCTAGGGAGACAGAGTTGCTGGCAGGAAGGGAACAGCCCACAAGGGGCAGATTCTCTCCCTCCCTCTCCTGTACTAGTCATGGGGGAGGCCCCTGACACCTGTCAGAGGGGTCGTGTTGGGGTACAAGGAGAAGCAATCCAGGTATAAATGCTTTCAAAGCTAAATGTCATGTGACTTAGTGTACTCCTGCAAATCCGTACATGCACTTACAGAAAAATCTTTTTTTCAAACCTGGGGAAAGTTAGTCAACCCTATCCATCCACTTAGTCAACACAGATTAAAAACCAAAACCTGACATATTTCTACCTTTAGCTGAGAGAAATTTAACTGAAGCATAACTATAGCATTCAAGGATATTGGGGTGAGGGCAGACAGTAGTTCAGATCACTATCAGTGTGCTGCAGGGACAGCTGGCTGTGGTTCACTTGGGGACCCTCCCTCCAGGGGCTCCTCATGGGTTCCTCATGGGGTTCCTTGGGTGGTGTGTCTGCATGTGGGGCAGTGCCCAGATGCCCTGTGCTAGGCAGAGTGCCAGGACACTGTGCTAAATCACTGTCAGGATACATGGTGGCAAAAGGGGAGATTCACCTTCTCTTAGGGAAGTGGAGAGAATCTTCTAAAATCCTTCAGGGCTGAGGGGCAGTTTGGGGTATTTGGAAAGACAAGTTGCACTTTTAATTGGTGAACTTTAGAGGATCTTGTCTCTTATTATGACATATTCAGAAAGTTGTAATAAAAAAATGAAAAGAAAAGGGAGTGAGGGAGGTGAGATAGTAAAGTGTTCTTCTCTCCATGTATTTTGTGAAGGTGAAAGGATTGTATTTTCTTTCAAGGACATTCTGGCATTTTGCAAAAGCAGAATTTAGCTAAAACTGGATGTGGCCCAGCCCTTGGTGCCTGACGAAGACCAGGCTGTGGGGAGGGGATCATCCATGTGCACAGCCAGAGGACACCAGGGTGCTCTGTCCAGGCAGGAGCAGTGTGGCCACATCCTGCACAGCAGAGCAGGGCTGCCCAGGGAACCACTTCTGCTGATGGACCACATCCAACTCCTTTGACTGTAAACCAAGACTCAATACACGTGTCCACTTACGTACATAAAGAACTTAATCTTGGATTTGGAAGATTTAGGGACTGGGCTATGAGAATGGGAGTGGCAAAGGGATTCCACCACATCTTCCCATAGGGGCAGGGATCATTGGACACATCCTGGAGGGCTGCCTGGTGCAGACCAATTGTGGGGGCTGGGAACACATGAATTGGGGAGATCGGCACTGGGTATAAGGGCGACGCGTCCAGCAGCAGTTGAGGGAAAATCACTCTGGGCTGGGTTGATGGCAGTAGCGTGGGTATCCGCGCATCCTGCCACGTCGGGTCCTGAATAATGGACATGGCTGTGGGAAGAGAAGAGAGAGGTCAGTGAGAAGCACTGGAATTGGGAACAGAAACTTGTGGTTTCCTTGGCTTATGGGGCTGGGCCCAAGGCAGGACCTCTGAGGATGCCCTTCCTCTCCCTGGATGTCCTCCTGCCTGGGCTCTGTCAGGTGTTGGGGTGTGTCCAGCCTTCCCAGCCACCCAGGGCTCTGGCACGGAACTCCTTTTGCTCAGATGTTGACTGTATCTGCATGCCCTGGTGGAGACCCTGGTGAATAAGGACATATTCTGACTAAATGAGGGCCCCAGAATTCCCCAGGCTACCAGGTGTGTGCTGAGGGGTGTGTCTCCATCCCAGCCAGGAGGGCCTCAGCATGGGAGGCAGCAGCTGACCCACAGCCCTGGTGCTGGGAGGGGATGGACGCACCAACCACCCCCAACTGACTGTTTCTCCAACCTCTTCATTTAAATTTAGAAGTGCAGGGTAATGTTCTATATTTCTCTCCAGCCATCCTTGAGATGAAAATAATCAGCTGTCAAGAATCAGCTGGAGGCTCCTGGGCACCATGTCTCCTGTCTTTGACATTCTTCTGACAGATGCCAGGACCCCACAACCCAGAGAGCAGCTGTCAAGGGCAATAAGCAGAGGACATTGTCCTTGGGGAGCATCCCTGTGCCCTGCTTACCTTGCGCCTGGGTTGACACCACATCACTGGACCCCGGTTGCGGTTTTGAAAAAAATTGCACATGATCTGCATGCGCAGAGTGTCCAGTTTGTCCTGGAAAGCAGAAGAGCCTGTGAGGAAGCTCTGAGCTGGCCTCCAGCGGGACAGTGTCCCCTCCAGTTCCCAAAGTCACCTGAGCTCTGTCCCCACAAACTCCCTGGGATGCATTTACTTTTGCAAGGGACCTGATTTGGAGGTTGAGGGTGTGGGTCAGGGATTGTTTAGGGATCAGTCAAATTACTATTTTTTGCAGGACAAGCCAGGAGCTACTAACAGAGCTAAAGTACAAGGCTGGAGGAGATATACGGTGTCTTGGAGAGGAACATGAGGTGCCTGCGGGGTACCTGGGAAGGAGCTAGAAGGAAGGGAGGAGGAGGCCTGCACTCATGAAGCCCACCAGGGAAGGCAGGGAAGAGACTCCATGCCCAATCAGTGTGCAGGGTCTTGCTGACGGAGGGTGGAGAGAAAAGGCAGCTCAAGACAGACCGAGAGTGACCGGATCCCAGGTGGGGGATCCTAGGGGAGCTCTGAACCCTGCGCTCTAGCTCTGCCTTGGTGTTTTCAGAGGGGGGGCGATGTCCTGTGAGCAGGAATGAGCCCTTGGTCAGGGCTTCCTCCTCTCTGGAAGGTGTGTTGGGCACTGCTGTGTTGCACACTGAGAGGAAAGCAGGGCTGTCTCTCCTGATGCCATAGAAGCTCCTGGAGGAAGCCATGGCCCAAGCAGGACAGAGGCAGGACCAGGAGGAGGGACAAAGCCAGGCAGAAATTGTGGGCTGTTTCTTCCTCCACACCAGCCATCTGGACTCTATTCTTGTGGTGGGGGCCTCCGGGGTTGGGTTGTGACTCAGCAGGGGGCCCCCTAGTGCTTCCTGGGGAAGGACATTCCCTCAGGCTCCTCCTCCGTGTGACCCTTGTCACCCTAGCTGAGGGCAGGAGGACAAGGCAGCGGCTTCTTTCTCTGCTGAGCCGGCCTCTGCGGGCAGCAGGTGCACCGCATTTCCAGTTAATGGGGGAAAGAACTTGAGTCAGAAATTCCTATTTCTTCTATATTCTGACCTTCATGAACCTAGTGATTTTGTTTTAACTCAAACCTACTTCTCAGGGAACCCAAGGCATTGTTGGTGCTGATGAGAACCTCTGCGTAGTAACTGTTTCCATAAACCTCAGCCCACTGAGTGGAGAGCCTGGTACTGCAGCCAAGGGAGCAAAGTTCAGCGACTTCAAAACCCATCTCCATCCAAGCCATGCCTTCTGGGCCCGCCCTGTCTGTACCTCTCTTCCACAGCCCCAATTGGGCACAGAGCACCCTCCCCGAGGACCCTTCTTACCTCTAGCTGTCTTATGTTGTTATATCCACCACCAGGGACTACAACCGTGGGGCATGTTGGTGCACATGGTTGCTAGGAAGAGAAATTTTTGAGTGGCAGTTCCGAGTGCAGACACATGAGGTGTTGCCCTGGCACCTGTCAACTTCTGGCCCCTCAGCTAAAGCTTGTTGGGAGGATTCAAGGACAACTGATTAACAGCACCTTGTACTGCAAGGGAGGCCTTCTGTGGGAAGCACATGCAGGCTCCACATATTTTGCAAAGATGATCCTTCCCCAAAGGGCAACAAATTCACTCTTGCCCCCTGGGTTTCCTGAACTGCCATTTGGAGAGGCCTGGTCTTGGGGTTTGACAGTGTAAAGGTGGACATCGGGGAAGAGCGTCAGCAGAAGCTGATTGGCCTGGTGTTGGCAGATGCAGCCTCCCTGACCACAGTGCAGCAGCACCGAGGCCAGCCTCTGAGTGGGGCCTGCTTCCCACGTCTCCCCTTTATAGGTCCCAATGGCCCTGCTGTGCAAATTCTATGGGTCCTGTTTGGGCCTTCTTACCGGGGAGAGCCACAGGTTGCTCAGATGACCCTTGGTCCCTGGTGTACTTGGCCTGGGCCTCCCTCACAGCTCATGCCAGGTAAGACTCCCCCCACCCTCCTCAGCCCTGAAATCCCCAAAGGACAAGCCCAGTCAATCCCCCAACCTGCCAGGAAACAAGGAGGAGCCCAAAGAAATGCAACCCAACAGGGTCAGAGACTGCAGGGGGGTGACCAGTACTGGAACCCTGAGGTTCCTTTTCCATCTGCTCACTTAACCCAGGGAAGGACCAGCCAATGACCAATTGTTGGGAACTGACACACACAAAACCAAAAGTAAAGCCCTGGTCATGTCACTGTGGATCATGGCACTTGCTGCAACAGCTACTGCAATTTGTAGTGTGACGGAGGCTCTGGATCAGACCTTTGGGAGCATGGAGAGGGTGTTGTCTGATGATATTTTGTGAGTCTTAGGTCCTCCCAGGATTCCCTCCCTGCCCCTCAGTCACCCTGATTTCTGCCAGCTCTCTGCCCAGGTAGGTGGAGATGGTGGGGTGGGAAATGGAGACATCCCACAGCTCAGGAGGCCTGTTTGTGAAGTCTGTGTGGGCATCAGGAACAAAAAAACAACTCACCACCATCTTGTTCTAGAAAGTGAAAGAGACATACACAGGATGAAAGGTTTTTGCAGGGCTCTGGCTGGTCCGCACAGGCAGGAGGGGACTCTGCTCAGCGGGAGTGAGTGAGAACATGGTTTGGGTGTCACTGTGGATGCCCACCCTCTGGATCTGTGGCCAGCAGGCTGCATGTCCCTGAGCACCTGACTCAGTTATCTGAGGGGATGTGGTGCTTTCTAGACCCGCTCACTTCTGGCTGCTACTGTGCCTTCTCCTATGCTCCTCCCTCTCTCCAGCCAGCAGTGTCCTTGCTGCCACTACCATGCTCTGCTGTCCCCCTATATTGGCCTGGCTGTCCTCTGCTATTGCTCTCCTTAATCAGGGTTAGTGGTCCCCAGCAGGTGGGATTGTGTGGTCTACCTCATGCCTGCCTAGGTACCAACACCTGCCCAGACCCCAGACTGTAGCTGCTGTGGACAGGCTGGCAACTGGTTCCTTTCTGTCCCTGTGTGCCCAGTATGGGCAGCACCCCCTGGCACTCAGGAAAAAGATGGAGGGAGGTGGAAGCAGCACTGGGGATGTGCAGACACCGTGCTGATTTCTTCCTCTTTTTTTTTTTTTTTCCTTTGTGCTGATTTCTAAAGCTCAGCTGCCCAGGGCTTGGGAGTCCTGCTCTTTCTGTGCCCCTGTTGGGCCCCTGCTTCTTCCCTCAACAGCAGAGTTCTCCTCTCTGTCCCTTGTCTGCCTGTGTGCTCAGAGCCCGGGAACCACAAATCTGCCCTGCCCGGGATTCTGGGCCCTTCACCCCAAGGACCAGGCAACAGCAGACCTCAGACTGAGCAATCACAAGGCCGGAGGCCCCTGCCAGGTCAACTATCTGCCTGGGGATGAGGGCAGAGAATGTGTCTCCCTTTGCTCCTGTTAAGACCGTGCACTCTGGGGAGCAGCAGAGGCCCAGGGCAGCTGGTGACGGTTCCTAGGGGAGTTCTCTGGGCTCAGGGAGGTGCACTAACCTTTCTGTGGTAGAGTCGCCACAAGCACACTATCACCAGAGGTATTAGTAGTACAAGCATGCATGCAGCCAAGTGGTAAGCATTGATGTTGGGGAACTGTGTGCCTTGATTTCCAGAACCTGCGGCCGCCACATTGGGAACGGCAGATGGCTGCACATTGCAAAGAGAAAACACCAGGAGTGTGGGCCTGGGGCCTCCTAGACACCCATGCCCAGCATGCACTCTAGGCTCCCCATTGGCCCACGCACATTCTCTGCAGGTTGCCATGTGGGCGGAACACAGTACTAGACCCGACTATGTTCAGGGCCCACCGTGGAGGCGGGGCACACCCACCCCACTAGCCGTGCTCAGAGGCTCAACCCAGAGCCCAGTCAAGGAAACCAGAATCCTTGAGGAGTGACCAGCCCAGCCCTCACCCCAAACCCTGGCTGGCAGTGCAGGGACACACAGTTGTACACATACACAGATGGGTGTCTGGGGGAGGGTGGGGCTCCCTGAGAGGTGGGAGTACAAGAGCAGAGCAGGAGACCCAAGTCCATTGCACATGAGGGCTCCCCTCTCTTGTAGGTTCTGAACCATGGGCTAAGTTCCTAATTCTCTCTGCACCGCCGTGTCCACATGTGAGCAGGAGGTGAGAGGGTCGTGAGGTGTGGCGGGTCATCAAAGTCCTGGCACAGGCCTGGTTCATGTGGGGCTGCAGGAAGGGGCTGTCTCTGGCTGTCATTCTGAACCTAGGATGAGTGGGTCTCAGGTGGGTCCCCACGCAGTCTCTGCTCAGAGCAGCAGGCGGGAGAGAGGTGTAATGCCTGGGGACTAGGATGGCAGAGAGAACGGTAATGTCAAGACTGCTCACCAGTGGTACCTGGGCCTGCCCTGCGTTTCTCCTGAGGACTTTCCTCATGGGCCTGATGACAGACGAGCTGTGCGTCGGCGGGACTCCTGAGGGGCTGATGCGCGTCCTCTGGCCGGTCTGAGAGGATGTGCAGACACAATGCAGACAACACAGAGATGTCAGCTGGTGGGGACCCTCACAAGCAGGTACAAAACACAGGGCTCTGGCAATCAGGCACCGAAGCCCTGCTCCCCAGCACACTCTTCTCCAGCCTAATGCTTGCCACTGCCATGCCTCACTGCCCTGGGCTACGGTGCCCGGGTGATGGGGGACAAGGAAAGAGCCTGTCGCCTTCGTTCCCCGGTGTCCCTAGCTGAGATGACTCCTGATCCCTCCCAGGGCCCTGATAGCTTCTCCACAAGCTGAGCAGAGAGATGTAGGGGGAGCTGCAGCCAGGACAGCTGAGGAGTGTGGGAAAGGAGGAAGGAGGGGAGGGGGATAAAGGCATCTGAAAAATGACAGCCAGTGTCCTCAGGGTCCCAGGGGCTGAGATGGTCACACACCAGGCACCAATGCAGAGGAAACGCACCCTTACTGTGCAGGGCCCAGCTGTCCCCGCCACATCCCCTGTGCCTGGAGCCTGCTGGGAAGGCCCGGTGCCCAGATCCTGCAGTCTGGTTCCTTGCACAGAACCTCCTAGCATCCCCCACTGACCCCCGCTGGAATTAAGATGGTGCCTCAACTTCCCCACCACAGACCAGGTTAGGGTTGCTGGCAAGGCGGTATTTAGCCTGGGAAGAGCCTCAACACCATTTCTGGAATCTGCTTGGGTCTCTCATTTCTCCCTTGTACCTGCCTTCAATGACAGTGTTCAGAGAGCAGAGGGCGTCTGTCATGCTAAGAAGGCTGCACCCCAGGGATCCTAGACGCCACTCAGACATGTCCCAACTCTGATGAAGGGCTAAGGGCATCATTGGCGGGAGATACCGCCCAGTCCTGCCAGCACCTGCTACTTTCTAGGCCTGTCCTGGGCACTGGTCCTCTCTCTTGCTTCCCTAGATGACTCCCTCCCCTGGGCAGGCTTCTGGGCAGCCCATGTACTTACCCTGTGACTCACACAGTTCTTGATGCTGATCTTGAGCCCGTTGCTGATGAAGCTGGCACCGTTGTTCAGGCTCACTTCAACAGAGATATTGCTAAACACAGAAAGGACAGATGGTGTCCACAGGTGCAGGTTGGCACAGCTCTTGGTTTCTGCTCGAACCATAGCCCACAGCTCTCCCATTGTGACAGGTTTGAACATCAGGCATTTGGGGCTACTGGAGGGCAGACGGCCTGGGGAGGAGACCCCACCCCAAGTCGCACGAGGTCCACCTAGGTGAAGAGGATGACCAGTGAGGGACTCTGCATGGGGTCAGATGCTTTGTGGTCATGAGCTCAGTGACTAGGGAGGCTGTGTGGTGTCACCATCCTGACTCTTGTGTATTTGTATTGTGCTGGCTCCACTCTGAAGGCTGCTGGGAGTAAAGGAACCCCCTGGGTCCTTCATCTGCCACATCCTGTCCTCAGCAGGGCCTGCAGCACAGCAGATCCCTGAGCCCATTGGGGAAGCTCCAAGACAGGCAGGTCAGGACAGAGCATGTCACATGCTGCCCAGTAAAGGTCGCCTACATTCTGCATCTCTTGGGCAAAAATGCCTGCGTGTCCCAGAGTGGCACTTACTTGGCTGGTACCTCTATCTTCACTCCCGGACACTTTATGCTGGTGTCTTCCACCTGGGTGGCTTTTTCATCTAAAGCAAATGAGATAGGAAGAAAGTCAGTGGACGTGCCCATCCACCCCCGCTCCCATCTGCCTGCCCTTGGCTGGTGCAGCTCTGCAGGGCACATGCAGCGTCTCCTCTCTGCCCTCTCAGCAGCTGCCCACACCAGCAAGGGCTATGGCCTGCGTTGAATGGGATCCGGCTCTCCAGGGCTTACGTTTGTGTGGGTGGCAGGAAAGCAGGCAATAAAACACAAACAAATTAAATAAATGCCAGGAATTAAAATTGTGACATTAATGAACAGGGTTGGGACACGGAATGGAGGGATTAAGCAGGCGCTAGGAAGAAGGTGATATGTTATCTTGATGAAAACTGAAATACTTATCCATTAAATGCATTCATGCTGGTATTGCTTCAAAAAATGGATTATCTTATTTTGATAATTACCGAATTTAAGTGATGCTGTTTCAAGTTCTTTTTTCAATAATTCTATTTTTTAAATGTTTTGAACATTTTTTAAAAAGATTTATTTATTTATACATACAAGAGCTGAGGTGCAGGCCAGAGATGTGGGAGGTGAGATGACTCACCAGAGACAGAGCGGGGAACAGAACAGGCCGACTGACTGAAATATTCTGCTGAGAGGACAAGACAGGCGAGGTCTTCCTCGCCATCTGGGTTGCTCCCTGGCCAGCCAAGGATCAAACTCATGCTGCCCAGGCTGTGGATTGCTTCATAGGGCGGTGTTTTAACCCCTGGCATGAACAGGGTGGCCCTATTTTGAACATTTTCATTAGAAATAAATTATTGATGAGGGTGCTATCCTCATAAATGTGATGAGTGAAAGCCAGGGTAAGGTCCCAGGGCAGAGTGTTCTGCCCTGTAGGAATAGCATGTGTCTAGGCCCTGAGGCAGCACTACCTGACTTGTTGTAGAAGTAACATGAAAGGTGGGATGGAACTCATGGTCCTGGAAGAGTTCGGGTTTTAATCTAAGGACAATGAGTCTGTTGAGGCGTGAGCCATCTCAGCACATGCTTTAGACATCGAGAAATAGGACCTACCCTGGACTGAATATGGTGATAAAAGCAAAGAGGGATCAATGATGACATGCAGGTTTTGACCAGCTTAACTGGGTGATGGTGCTATTTATTGACACGGGATTTCTGAGGAAGGGTTAGTGATTTTCTTCTATGCTTTTGTTTACTGATATTTTAAGTGAGCATGACAGTCAGAAGGCTCAAAAGAGCTCCCTGACTTGCAGTTGTGGATCCTGCTTACTTCTGAGTTCTTTCTACCCCTGCATTGTGGCCAAGTTTTGAAGTACCAGCTCCCTTTAGAGTCTGATTTACCCTTCCATGCACCCAGGTCATCTCCGCAGGGTCCCATGCTTCCCCTCTGGGATTCGAAATCAAGGGCCACGTGCTTTTCACCACAGTGATCCATAGGACAATCCTTTCCCTGGCCTTCTGTTTAATTGGACATCTCATGACCTTAGCTGAAACCATGTCTTGAACTTGTAGACAGATGCAGGCTGGTATGCGCCCCCCTGTAGGATCATGATGTTGGGCAAAATGTTTGGATGACTCTGCTACAGGTGCAAATCCATTCAAAGAAGTGCTAATAGGCCTCTTTTGAGAACCAGGATATTGCATGTAAGGCCCTGCGAACATACGCCCACTCAGAATGCATTACTTCTCTATGACAGAGTTCTCAGTCCCTGCATCACTCTTGAGAAGTATAGAACAAAGGAAATCTAATTCCCTGAGGCCAGCTATGCATGGTGAGGTTGGGTATGGCAGTGGCACTCCCTGCTTTATTCTTGCACCCTTGACAGCAAGGAGAGATGGGCTAGGAGTGCGCTGGGGGAGAGGAGTTGCTCTGGGTTTATCACATGGTCCTGCAATAGGCATTCATTAATATCACAACACATGAAATGACATTTTCAAGAGGCCGAGAGAGTGAGGGTTTCAGGAAATCCAACTGGACCCCAGACACTCTGTAGGGATGATCACACCCACCTCACCATGAGGGCAGGACACCAACATGTCCCAGCTGTTTGCTCCCTCAGGCCATTCCTCCATCATGGAGGTACACCTGATGTGTGAGTATCGCCAGATAATGGCTTCCATATGTCATAGAGCTTAGTTAGTGCAGCTGTTATATTGCTCCCGTTTCACAGTAGGGGAAATCGAGCAAGAAGGGAAATTTCATACGGTCATGGTCACACAGGAAATGTGTGCCTGTGCCAGATCCCAGGACCTGCACCTCTGCTTGGCCTCCTCTCTCAATTGAAGGTGAATATTCCCTCCTGGGAAGCTACCATTGCACCTGACATGAACTCAGAGCCCAGGACAGCTTCCAGTTTCACCTGGTTGAACCATGAGATTGGGGTCCTTGTCTCTCAGGGAAAGTGAGAGATGAGGAAAGATTGGGGGAAGCAACTGTGAGGGAAGACCCTCCTCACAGGGAACAGCCCTGATCCCAGACACTTTCATGGCTCTGGGGATGGATGGGTCCCACCCACGTCCCTCCTTCCACTCTTGGTGCTGCCTCTGTCCTCCCAGCACCCATAGCGTATGGGCATCAAGGGTTTTGGAGGCATGGTGCCTGAGGGAAGAGAGCATGTTGTGGGAAATTTGTTATTTGTACAAATCAAGGGAGCTACTTACCAAAAAATACGGTGTCAACTATCTTAAACCTGCAAAGAACTTCGTTTTTGTTTTTGGTGTTATGAAAACCTCTTCCAAAGACGCCTACATCGTAGTTTTCTGCAAGGGCAACATCCAAAATTGTGTGTAAGGAGGGGTGAGCTCTGTTGTCTGATCTCAGACTATGGCAGTGTGCCCCCAATGTGGGAGCCCCCAAGGGACTCCTGGAGGAGACAGCTGTTCTGAACCAACATCTCTGTGTCTCCTGAGGCTCACCTGGTGTTTCTGAGGGGCCACTGTGAGGAGGCTGGTGGAGCTCTCAGGCATTCTCACCACAGCTGCTAACCGGCACAGGCCAACAAGGCTCCACCTGGTCCCATCTCCATAAATAAACCCGATGTGGGTTTACAATCTTTAAGTTCTGAGACTCCCTAAGGGGTGCAGGCAGTGCTTTCCAACCTCCACCAGAGCGCCATCTTAAACAAGATCGGTGTGAGACAACCAAGGCTGCACCCCTCTGTCTCTTGCTTGAACTGAGCACCCTGCCCTTGTTGGTTGTGAAATTATTTGACATATGGGGTCTGTTTCTCCTCACCACCTTTTTGTGTGCCTATGGCAGACTGGTGAGCTCAGGAATAAGGTGCGACCCTGGTGAGACAAGCAAGGAGCAGCTGATCCTGTACCTAAGAGTCCCCCTTCCCTTAGCTGTGAGGCTGATCCCTGAAGATGATTGTTGTTCCTCCTCTTACTGACTCTCTGGGGCCTCCTCTCTTCCCTACCTAGGGAGTCATGGAAAGCTCTTCCTTCTGCTGGGTGGGGAGTGATTTGCCAAGGGACATCTGTCCTACCCCCCTTGATTGGACACTGGGCATCTTCTCCCCTGGAATAAATACCAGGGGACACAGTGATGGCAGTTGTGGGTTTGGCTGCCTGGATTTAGACAGGATACTATGAAGTCCTTCTTGCTGTAGGTCAAGGTCATTATCCTGCACTGGTGCCTAATCTCATGTCTAGCTAATTCTAGTGTCCTGTTTTCCCCTATTGTGGCTATTCTACTTCTCGTTCACCCCAGGGAAATTCTGTCAAGTGATCGCAGAGAGGTCAGAATGAGGATGTGACCAGGGGCCTGGGACTGTGTCCCGACTTATTAGGAATTACCGGAATATCAACCAAGGACACCAAGGTTTGGCTTTTTCATACAGTGGAAGGTGGACAATCTAATGTTCCATGTGCTCCCGCTTATTAAAAATACCTTTTGGAAGTGTATGTAGATGGAGATGTTAGCATATAGGATCACCTATTCATGGTAGTTATATTTGGTAGACTTACAATGGGACAGACTGGAGAGGCGCTGCCGCCAGGATGCAGGGGACTGAGGGGCAGCTGTGATGGTGTGTGTCTTCACAGGGTCTGTGTTATGCAGGTGTGTGTGTGCATCTGTGAGACTCACACATAATATAACCGCGATGTGATGATGTGCGCATTTCAAAAAGACAACTCGGGAAAATGGGTCCCTTGTTTATCATAAGCAAAATGACAAAGTTGGGTGTGGAACAGCCTGATGACTCTAATTTACTTTGAAAACTTTCAAAAATAATAGGGGATTGATGGGGACAGAGAAAGACAGAGGGAGATAGATAGATAAGTGATAATTAGGTCAGCTCTTAATTGAGAAATCCAGTTAGAGGATCTCCTTGTAGAATTGCTTCCATTTGCTGCAGGTTTGGAAATGAGCATAATGAAATACTGAAAGACAATCATATTGAATGAGTAATGCAAGCATCACAGTTAAGCAGTAGTCATGACATTATTGCATGACCAGTGGAGAATGAGAGGAATCTGGGTAGAGCCAGGGGGGCCAGGTGACCAGGAAAAGCTTCTTGGGTCAGTGGACCTGAGAGAAAGTTCCCAAATGACTGGTTGACTGAACCCCGTAAAGCAGGAAAAGGGCTTGCAGGAAGTCTAGCCCGGGCCCAAGCCTCTGGGTCCGCAGGGTGAGAGAAGAGGGCATATCTGCAGGGCCTGCTTGTCCATCTGCAGGTCTCACCAACCCAGCCAGGCTGGGATTAGGGAAATGGTCTTCTCATGTGGCAGCTCCTGCCCCTGCAGCAGCATCTGCCCCTGTGGCAGTTCCTGCTGCTGAACGTCAGTGAGTATGCTGGACAAAGGGTGGCTGTACTTCAGACATATGAGGTCAGAGTACATAAGACCCCCTTCCCCTGTGCGATGGACTGGACAGCCAATGACGGGTAAGATTAGGGGCAGACAACAGATGGCACTGGCTGTACATGTGTCTGCGACTCCTGACAACCTAAGACAGGCGCAGTCCCCGAGGGGATCCACAAAAACCCCTTTTTTTGGCCTTGCAAGAGGATGGCTGCTATAGAACATTGCCAATGTTTTTTAGTTAATACTGTCCAGTTTGTTGAGACCATACTGCTAATCTTTAACTTACAGTTCAATAACTTTGTGCTCCACTGCCCAGTTGTTGCCTTAAACTGGTTTGACTACTTACAGAAAATGTTCAAGATTTTAATGAAGTAAAGCCGTTGTTGTGACTTTATAATAGTACAATTATATAGTAAAAATAGTTATAGATATTAGTAAAAAATATTTATGTCATAATATATAAGTAAATAATAATAATAATGGAATAATAATGGTTATGTTAATGATTATACTAAGGTTAATAACGTAGGACCTATGGGTCAAAAATAGTTGAGGTTGTAGGGGACCCCTTGTTGAGGTCTCGGTATGTACTTGATTTATTGATGATTGTACATGAATGGAATCTAAAAATGGTGCATATTGTTTTTTGTTATGTTTTACTGCATGTAATAATTTAATGTATAATTAACCATATACTGTGAAAAATAATTTTATGTAATGGTCAAAAAGATGTATAAAAAGAGAAGGTTGATACCAACAAATTACACTCAGATTTTCACTCCCTTAGAGTGTGTCTGTGTGTCATTTGTTTCTTTCCGTCCCTCGCCCTAATCCTTCGACCACCTCGTGCTCGTTCTCGCTCATTCCCTGAGATTTCTCGGTTTTCCCGCGCCGCTGGGCTGGTTCGCGGCAGATGGCGCCTAGGTCCCCTGCGGGAGGGTGGGCTGGAGCCAGGACCTTGAGGCAGGGAGGGAGCAGAGGACTCTGCCTGGACTCTGAGGTGTCCTGTGGGGTTGAGGAGGCTGAGCCCTCGTGCTCAGCCTTCCTGTGCCCCAGGGCCCCTGGCCATTATTTGTCTCGGTTGACTCCTCCTGTTTCGGGGAGTGTAGGTGTCTGCCTTGAACTTTACCACAAATGACTGTGACGCTGGGTGGCGGCAGTTGACTAGAGGACGGTTTACAAGGACAGAGCAGGGATTGCTGGGCCAGGCTGCCAGGGCATGTGAGGAGGGCTCCTGTCACCTTGGGTGGATACGATTGGTCTCCCCACCTGTCTGTGTTCACATGCTGCTCAGACATTCCTGCCTGGGTGTCTCCCTGGACATGCCCAGAGAAACCAGGCTGCCAGTTGCCTGCATGGGTGGGACTTAAAAAAGGAAAGACCCATGTGTGCTGTGGGTGGTGGGGGCAAGTGTGTTTCTAACCCAGCCCACTTGAGGCACTGCAGGTTACAGGTTCAGAGAAGTCAGGATGAGTCTGAGAGACTCTTCCATCCTGGAAGCTCTGTAGCCACGCCCTCCCCGCCTGGGCAAGCATGGGCAGCGGAGCCATGGTCAGTCATGGGAATATGACTCTTCCTTAAGTCTGCCTGCTTCTATTCTGAGCTGGTCCCTGCACAGTCCACTGGCCTCCCCTCTCTCACGGAGCGGAGGGTGGGTATTGATCTTTCTGCCTCTTGGAGACAACAGAGGAGCTGGCAGATCTGGGTCCCTCGGTCCCTGTGTCTGGCCCCGGGCAGCAGAGCTCAGCTGGAGCAGCCTTCTGTCTGACCCGGGTGAGGGTGCTCCAGCCTTCCCGGCAAGGACACAGAGGCAGAGCCAGCTGTCTGGGTCAGGATGCGGTGGGTCAGGCCGTGTGCTGTTCCCGGGAAGGGCGTGCTTACCCGTGGGCCTCCTCTGTCTGCTCCAGAGCTGCGGCAGCACAACCTGCACTCACAGGCCCTTGCAGAGAGAGGCCCTGTAGCCTAAGGGAAGTGCCTGGACCTCCTCATTGCAGTGCTGCGGGACCCTCTGGGGGAGCAGACATCCTTGTCTTGTCCACCTCTCAGGAGAGGCCTTCCTATTAACCCTGAAGCTGATGTCAGCTGGGAGTGTTTGCGTGGAGGGATGTTGATCACCTTATGCCCTTATTAAGACACTGGAATTTGAACTTTTTCTTCAGACACTGAAATCATCATTTCCTCTTCTTCATTTTGTTGATGGGAGGAATACACTGATGTTTCAACTCTATATCAGCCCTGTGCTTCTGGGGTGATCCCAAATTGGCTCAGAAGTATTTTACTTGTCAGATGATCTTGGGTTTCATTGTTACTGTATATTTTTTTCCTCATTTTTAAATTAAACTTCTGATTTTGTTATTAAAAATGAATTATACACTCTTATTGTGGTAATCACTTCACGTTTTATATGTCAAACTTTTATGTGATATACCTTCAACTTACATAAATGTATGTCAACTCCAGCTCATGAAAACTGGGAATAAAGAGCATTTCCACGTGTGTATTTATATCACACATTTCAACTGCACAGTACACTACATCCATTACACACATCCAAGCACAATGTGCAACACACTCAAGCACACATGACTCTGTTTAGAAAACAGACCCCTGCTCTTACCTCCCACACAGTAATTGGTCGGTTCCACACTTGTAAGCTCAATGCAGGACTTAGCTGTGAGCTGGAACAGAGAGTTGTTCGGGACACGTAAAGTGAAGAGTGGACATGGTAACAGCCACCTCATCCACCCCCCACAACACCCCTCTCTCACTGAGTCAGCGATGTTCTTCAGATCATAGAATCCACTGTCCACGCCAACCACGTGCTCCTCGCTGTCTGCAATTGCCAGGAGCTACAAGAGGAGAAGAAGGTTTGGACTGTCAACAGGGGTGAGAGCCAGCAGGACCCCATCCCAGAACTAGGGTTCAGGCCTCATGCCATGTGATACTCAGTG